CGCCTACTCGCTCATGAGCCCTCATGGTAAGGCTTTGTCATTTTCCCCATGTTCCCATAGTCAGAACTACATGAAATTTACAGCATACATGCATTTGATGTGTATCCACCAGAATACGAGTAGAAGCCTCACCGGACACATGCTGGGGGAGGAGAATGAGCCCGACGCGACCCTCCATCGATGCGCCATTCGGCTACCTCACCTATTGAAGCAGCAAGCGCCCGCCCGCCCTCCCGCCTCGCTTAGTCTACAGCGTCGGTCGTCGTTCCGCTGCTCGTTGACCTCTCCTCAGCTCAGTTGCTGAGTTTGTATTCTAGCCATGGTGTACTGTTTTTTCTGAGGTATATTCGCGCGGGGGAGTAGCTCTGGAAGGGGCCTCTGGTCACATCAATCGTCCATCACCATTCAGGCGCCGGCTCAGAAGGAGAGGAAAAAAATAAAGTGGGAGAATTGAGGGAGGCTTGTGGCACTGTTCTAGCCATCAAAATCCGATGCGCCCATACTGATGTCCCAGGCGAACAGCCAATCACCTGCGGGATTGGGAGGTCTGATACCTCCCTGGCCCGATATCCCAGAGGTTTGCATACCTCGTTGTAGGCTACTCAACAGTCACACCGTTGTGAGAGCACACGCTGAGGAGGGTCTTTTAGCTCGCATCAAATAACATGACGGCATTTCATGTGAGCCCAGAGGGAACGCGAAGGGACAAGACCAGCCGCCCTGCACAGGACTACGCAGGGCGACACTGAGGAAGGGACGACGTACCATCCCTCGACTTGCGTAGTTCTGAGCTCGCTTCCTGGAGCATGAGCCGCTGGTATGCCGGATCACAATCGTTCTGGATTGCTAGCGATACAACATACAACATGATATACGGGATACACAACAAGGAAGTAGATATTGTTAAGTAAGATAGAGTCATGCATCATCGTCCATCTCTCGTAAGATACGGGTTCCGAGAGAGATCTCCAAGTAGGGCAAAGGACTGGGCCCGTCGGCCAATCGACAAGAAAATCAGGCCTGACCTCGACGGCCACAACGGACAGTGGGAATGCCATGGCACGCGGGAGTCCAGTAGAGCAGGAAAAGTGTAGGGCAATCGAGATGGAGCCCGGGACCGACTCAAGCCTGCACCGGCGTATGGTCGAAGTGAGGGTCTGAACAGGGCCACGGCCCCCTCTAGGTCCATGAGTGCCCCCTAGGGCCTGGACACGAAATGGGATCTACCTGAAGAGCATCTTCGCGAGATAGCCCTCGTCGTCCGGTCGCGTGGCGTCGGCCGGGGTCGTGGACGTCTGCCACACCAGAGGGTTCTTTCGGATGTAACCCGACATCGGCCGCAGCGCGTGCGGAGTCTCTGGGTGCAACCCGACCCAGGGAGTCTCGGGCGGGAGCTCCACTTCTTCGAGTTGGCTGCGAATGGCTCAGCGATTGCCCTGGAACGGATGCGCGATGGATTGGCGCATGTAGAGAGATCCGGCGCACCTAGTGTCGGGAACCATGTTGCGAACTGTGCCTTCCATCTCTCATTGCGGGCGGCAACGTCCTCCTCCGATTCGGATTGCGTCGACTTGCTTGAGGTGGATGTCTCTTCTGATGTAACCAATTCAAAGCACAAAAATTATTGTTGTGATATTTGATACTAACTTGTATCAGACTCGTATGTATCGCCTAAGCCATCGGCGTCAGCTAGCGGATGCAGAAGGGCGATATACGGACTATTGTCTCCTTCGTCAACTGTGTCAAGCTTGGGCTCTTTCTGCTTCCGGCTCGGCATGTTCCTTTTCTGTCCCGATGCCCTCGTCTTCTCGGCAAGTTTGACAGCATCGGGGATTGGGAAATCGTCAAAATATGGGGAAGACTGCAGGAGGCTGATGACAGTATATGCGAAACGGGCATAAATGAACTCGGCGGGCACACGTCGGGGAAATGTCACTGGTCTTCTGTGCAGCAGCTCGGCATAATCCGGAACCCCTTCGCGCAGAACGTATGTCAGGAACGTATGGTGGTCCACCGGGCAGAAGACGAAGACGTGGCCCTCAAGGCAGTAACGGACATCGCGCCGCAAAGTGATCACGTTCATGCCGTTCGCGGCCAGCCAATCCTTTTGGTCCTGCGGCACGAGATGAGCTGTTTCGCAAGCTGGCATCGTGCTCAACGTGGTAAGTACAAGCGATATCAATACAACTAAACGATGCACCGTTGAGATGATGGGTAATCAGACAGTGCCCGTCATCCCATTTGACCACGTCGGACACCGCCGTGGAGGAAACGTTCGCGTAACGGACCTGAAGCTCCACCGTCTCCTCATTATCCCTAGGCCAGGACCAATGGGGTAGGACGCGCTCGGGAAAATCCCATGCGCGAAAGTCGGCCACAATGCGGTAATTTGTCGTAGTGTCAGAGGGGCTGAGGATGTAATAGTAACGGCCTGGTTCCAGAAGGGCGTTCTCAGTCGATGCGGCTTGCTGCCCTGCACGGTCAAGTGCGTGATAGTCGGCCTGGTCTTCCGAGGTATAGTTGGTGATGATACGACAAGCATCGAGAACGAGCTGGCGGTCGACGCCATAAACAGTGTTGGCGGGGGGAATAGACTCGCTGAAGGCAGGGAGAGAGAAGAGGGGTCGGTCGCAGACTGGGTGGACGATGTCGACTGCCCTGTAGGATCTGGCTGATATGTCGCTTCCAGATGGCAGCTTAAGCTTCTCGCGCGGATTCATGACCAGGCCTGTCCCGGAGGAGCGATCGGGGTATGGCAGAGAGGTGTGAGCGCATTCAAGCGAGGACGAGCAATATCTCCTACGAGTCAGCAACTTGCAGCCACAAGCCAAATGCGGCCAATCCCAAGCGCTTAAGCTGGGGGCCCAAGGCCTATCCTCCTATTCAACCCCTACAATACATAAGTGCCCTCGTATTTCTTCGGTGTCAGTAACGTTGCGAGCGGCCCCTCGTGGCACTTCGACCAGAGGTGCGCGCCTTCATATTACTCAACCCGGTTAACGACTAATTCCATCGAGACAGGATTTTTTGCGTACGTCGACTTGGGTCGTCAAAGAACAGGGGCTTTCAAGTTTCCGCGAAACTCCGTAGACCCTCGTGGTGGTAATGAGGCCTTCACGGCCTGGGTAGAGGCTGTATCGGCGGCCCCGGTGCCAAACACGACGATATTCGTGGTGGACGCGCCAAGTAAGGATAGACTATACCGAGACTGTTGACCTTGAAGTGCGAGACAAAAGACGGGATCAGACAAGATACAACTAATACCACAATGGCTACCCTACCGCGGAGACGAACTCGGAGCAAAGCTCGTCCATATCAGTGCTGCTAGAGATTTATGAGATCAGTGATAGCGAACCACAGAGGATCCGTACCAGTCGCCAGATCTCCTGCAGAGAATACGCGCCTATTCTGCGACGGCAGGTACACATGGAACCAACTCCGGGTTGAATATGGGTCGACAAGCCCAGGATTGAAGGAGATAAGGAGATAAGGAGAGGGGGCCGTGTGAGTTCCACGATAGGAGCTCTGACCTCATATAGAGTGACCGTGATTTGCTAAGACCACAAGGTCGTCCAAGGAGTTCTTTCGCAGGTTCGCAGGCAGATGCTCTCGGAGCTGAGAAATCCATATAGACCCGTTCATGCATTACGGGGTGACCTCAAAGGAACTACCACCGCGCTGAACACAGATGAACGTCATCTACCAGTCAAACTACGACATCTAAGCAGCGCGGCCACTCACTCATCTGGACACGATACGATATCTTCGGGTACCATTCGCGCAGAGCAGATGTAACCTCTGCCGTCGTGTCTTGTACGTCTACAGCGCTGTAGACCAATTTCACTCCAATCTCCTCGAGTTTCGCCAGCGTACCTAGCGTCATCTTCACGTCGTCCGTGAAGATCCTGCTTCGCAGCTCGGACACAATGGGGGGAAATATTGACGCAAGGTCAAGGTGCAAGCACCGGAAGCAAGGCGACGCAGTCGCACTGCGCAGAAATAGTCCCAAGAGAGGTGAGGTGCATGTCAGGTCCGGACTCCCTTTAGTGCCGATCATATCGGCGATGTCGAGCCTTTCGAGCTTGCGAGAAGTGGAGATGCAGTCCGCAAGAGCTGAGAACTCTACACCCGGCATCAGAATATGGATTCGCTCGACTAACGGACGGAACGGCCCTTACCAGAGAGGTCGTCTTCCGACGGCGTGCGATCAAAAGCCAACGAAAGTCGGACGATGGATTCCCCAAAGGCGTGTTTTGGCGGGAAGTTCTTTGCCGAGTTCGAATGCTACCGAAGTAGATGAGTGGATTTTAGTGGCTTCGCCCGGATGCCCGTCCTAATGTACTCACATTGAACGAAAGGGACAAGTGAGTTAGGTTGTGACAGAACCGACGCGTTGCCAAGGCGCTCAGGCGTTCATACACTATGGCCGAAAGCGAGTCGCACACGAAGGGCCCGAGGGTGACGGACCGGAGATCTGGCAAGACCCAGAGCAGCTGGAAGAGTCGAGCCATGGACTCAAACTCCCGCTGGAGATGCAGCTCCCTAATCGGAAACTGGGAGACGATCTGGTGGTACTTTGGCGGGCAGTTGTCCCAGTCCATCCATAGAACGAGCCTTCGAAGATTTCGCAGGCTTCGCACGAGGACCCCTTGAGCGAAGGAGAGGTAGGAAGCGTGCGCGCTTGAGCCGATACACAGCTGCTGAACGAAGAGACCGAGGTGAGAACGAATGGATAGCGTTTGCACGAACGATGATAACGCTTCCTTGTCGCGTAAGGTGACGTTGTAGTAGAGGTTGAGACGACTCCGAGGGAGGCAGTCGGTGCAAGTCAGAGCACATGCACGGAGCGAAGCGTAGCCGCCGATGTCTCGTTCGAGGGAATCGATGACATTCTCCAGTACCTCCAGTGGCAAACGACGGGCAGGCATCATGAGAGTCCGTCGCTCCTGCAACGAAGTGTGTTGAAGTGGTCGTTGACATGTTGCCTGGTGGATGTTCGTGGTAAGTCCGAGATATCCGCGGATGGCGTCCACCACAATATGCTGTGCAAGTCAGGTGACGCAACGCGTCGCGTGTCCAAGGGCCGCCGCGCGTCTGTCGATTCGGTCTATTGACCACTACCACCACCATCACCTCCAACACTGGTCCTATCCGCTCTACGTGAGCTCATCAGATCTCGATACAGATGGACTACGATGATGATGCGGAGCTCAGGAGGTCGACACGCCGTTGCTCAGTTTGACCGTACAGCTGACCGTGTTGTTAGAGCAATCGAGCTGAGCAAACAAGAGTTCGAGGCCAATCAGGCTCCATCCCGCGCCACCGAAGTTATCGCCGTGGACGCCAACGATGTAGATGTTGAAGAAGCACGCTTCAAAGCTGATATGCTGCGGGCCATCAAGGAGTCTGAACAACTAGAAGCAGCTAAGGCAGCCTCTCTCAGCAATGTGCAAGGACCAGCTCCATCTGCACCAACACCAGCGGCCCAAGCTGGCCCATCGTTTCTCTCTGAGCGAGCTCAGATGGAGAAAGAACGGCTAGAACGTCTGAAAAGACGCCGTCCAGATCTCCACCAACAAGCCAACACGGTTGTCATCGACGACGACTCCGACAACGAAGAGCAAAACCGCGGTGCGAAAAGGCAGCACATCTCATCGTCCTCTTCTTCTGGGACGCGTCGTGCCAATACGTATGCTTCTACTTCGTCTAGTACCGCTGCTACGGCCTCGTCGAGCAGGAGCGCAAGTAGGCCTGCTGCCGCAGCAACCAGGCAGGGCCAGGAAATCTTCTGGGATGGCGAGCTGCGGCAGACGGCTAACAAGTACGTCATCCCGGCCCAGGACAATCGGCCTCTGTTCAGACTTAGCGAGATTCTCACCCTGGTCAGTTGTCCCAGCCCATGATGAGTGTGGTTATCCACTAGAAAGTCGCTGACGCGGCCTCCATGCATCCGATATAGAAAGAAGACATCGAATTTGCGATCATTTCAGCGTACTGCTGGGACTACAAGTTCGTGTACCAGTTGATGGACCGCCGTACGCCTGTTATCGCGGTGGACCATAGCCCGACAGGCAAGTCTCATCATTGACGCCGCGTCGCGCATCGTCCCCTTATACCTTGTCCTGATTATCAAAGGCGAAGCATCTATCAAGGCTATCCTACCTAATTGGATCCGGACGACGCCATTCTTACGTGGGGGCTTCGGCTGCATGCACATGAAGGTGAGCGAAGTCCCCTCAGCTCTTGCGTCGCTCAGCTGAGCATCGATATCTCAATCACAGTTCATGCTGGTGAGAAGAGCTCAATCAGCTCGCCTCCTACTGATAAAATAGAGTCGCTGACCCACTTTCTAGCTATTCTTTCGTACGGGCAGACTACGTATCGTGGTGTCTACGGCAAATCTTGTGGAGTACGACTGGCGTGACATCGAGAATGTGCGTGTGGTTTCCCCCCACATCTGCCTCATGTTTACCTTGGTGTTAACCTCATCGTGAAGACTGTTTGGGTGCAAGACGTGCCAAAACGCCCCTCGCCCGAGCCGGCGGACCCCAAAGTCGAAGACTTTGCCTCCGCGCTAGTCCGCATGCTTCACGGGGTCAACGTCGCACCCGCTCTCGTCAACCACCTCAAGAACGAGGTACAAGTTTCCTCGTTTCCCAGCACAATTCCTAGCCCCTTAACTGACAACGCGCAACGCACAGTACCCTAACCTCCCACTCCAACGCCTCGAAGAGCTCCGCACGCACTGGGACTTTTCCCGCGTCAAAGCGCGTCTCATTCCCTCCATCGCAGGCAAGCACGAGGGCTGGCCGAAGGTCATCCTCACCGGCCACACCTGCCTCATGAAGTCGCTCAAGGACATTGGCGCGGAGACGCCCAAGGACAAGGACCTCGTGCTGGAGTGCCAGGGGTCGTCGGTCGGGGCGTACACCACGGCATGGCTGAATGAGTTCTACTGCTCCGCGCGGGGCGAGTCCGCGCAGACATGGCTGGACGGGCCGAAGTCGCGCAGGGCGAAGCTGCCGTTGCCCCCAATCAAGATATTGTTCCCGACGGCGCAGTACGTGCGCGACAGCGTGCTGGGGGAGGTGGGCGGCGGGACGATGTTCTGTAGGCGGAAGCAGTGGGAGGGGAAGAACTTCCCGCGTGAGCTGTTCCACCAGACGAGGAGCAAGCGCGGGCGCGTGCTCATGCACTCGAAGGTATGGCAACGTTACGCGCTATGTTGCCTGTTATCGCCGATGCTGACGGTCGTGTAGATGGTGCTTGGGACCTTTCGCGACAAGCGTCGGAAACAGCAGACGTTGACGGACAGTGAGGACGAAGCCGAAGACGGCAGAAACGCTGATAGTGGTAGCCGGGATCGGCAGCAGCTCGCGGGATGGGTGTACGTGGGCTCGCACAACTTCACGCCGTCCGCGTGGGGAACGCTCACGGGTTCCGCGTTCAATCCGACGCTGAACGTGAGCCCCTTTCCTCTTGATGGTGACCGTTGCGAACCTAATCAACGCTCATAGATCACGAACTACGAGCTCGGTGTACTCATCCCACTACACAGTCAGCAGGAGATTGACAGCGTTGCGTGCTGGGAGCGCCCGCCGCAGAAGTATGTCATCGGTCGCGACGAGCCTTGGGTACGTCTGAAGGACAATGTCAATATGTCACTTCGAATCCTGACCCATGGCACTTGCTGAATAGATCCAATCGGAATCGCCAGCTTTCGTAGAGGATGTTTAGATTGTAACCAAGATTGTGTGCAAGACTAGACAGCGCTCTCTCGCAGGTATTTCATCGTACCCAATGCTTCAGCCCATGTGTTTCTCGATACGGACGTCTCCGTGAACGCAAAGTAAACAGTCCTAGGTGCGAAATCGAAACCATACGGTGCAGTTGCATCGATGCGATTGGTGAGGTCATATCGCTCTTTGTCCCGTCCATCGAGATGTCTTGATGCACCTACAAATGTGTTAAGACATTCCGCAAAAAGTGAGTAAGATTCAAGTAGCGCACTCATTGATGACCTTTCTCGTGCCCGCTACACCCTGGCGCCGACTCCAATTTTGAGCTGCCCAAAGATCAGGTAGCGGCCGCAAAGAAGAGACAGTAGGGTCGCGGGCCGTGAGAAGGTGGGACCAAGACGATACCCTTCAACGCCATCAAATCCAAGTAGGACGTCCGTCGAGTCTATCTATTCTTCTTCACGTCCAAGGTACGAGTCTTCAATTTCCGCAACGGTAACTGTCACGCTAGATTCATTTGGACTGACCTCCTTGCTATTCTTCCATCGGCGCGTCCCTCCAGGAACTTTCTTGCTAACTCAAAGTATTATCGTGGCTTGATCCTTCATTTCTGGCTCCCGTGATCTATATATTAATCAATATGGCCCTTCCGCCGTATACGATATCACTTTGCTTACTAGAGATCCGTCTGCCGTGTGCCACATCTTCACACCCCCTACTGTCACGGGGGAAGACGTGACGTAGGTTCCGCAAGGCGAAAAGCAAGCGTAACGACCCAGCGGTATACTCCAGAGCTCGCCATCTTCATCTCCTTCCAAGAGCAACGAGCCTAGCAAGCACCCGCTACACGCACTCCTGATCTCTACAGCCGACTCCGATTCGCGGACCAGTAATAGATGCTCTCCGTCTGCTGAGAATGCGACATCTCGCAATCCTGTGGTAGGCATATGAAGTGTGAGCAAGTTCTGTCCAGAAGGAACCACCCATAGCTCGAGGCGATCTTGGTTGTCTACTACGACCAAACGTCTGCTATCGTGGTCGAATGCTCCAAAAAGGGGTGTCTTCGCGAACTGGCGGGCATATCCTGAGCGCGCGTCGTGCAACCTGACGGGATTGGTGAGATCGCCATTCTCGGAGACCGTCCACACAGTCCAACCCGCACAATTGTAGTCGGACATCGCGAAGCAAAGCCCGTCTGGAGAGAAGAGAACGATGGGTGCCTGAGGAGAGATCTCATATAGGCGCAACTCTGTAGCAGGATGCTGGAATGGCTGCGATTGGGAAGTTCTCCAGAGTGCGACTGCCCCAATCGCGGACACGGTTGCGATAAAACGGGAAGACCAAGCGACGGCTATGAATGCCCTTGCTCGGTCACTGGCGACTACTCGCTCACCCTCTTCTACGTTCCACATGAACGTCTGGCGGGAGCAGAGCACAAGCAGCTGCCGCCCGTTCGGTGAAAAGATGATGGACCGGGGGGCGAGCTCGACATCCAAGGCTACCCAGTTTCGAAGCCCAGCTTCGTCGAGAGGGCTCCACAGTGATATGACGTCGTGCCCCACGTAACATGCCACCCATCGCCCGCCAATAGACACGACCAACGATGATTTTGGCATGAATCCGGATTTGTCGATCAAATGTGTTTCTGTCGCATTCGATGAGATGAGATTATACGAGTTCGGCACTTCGTGAACGCATATGGCACATACCGGGAGGAAAGACAACTTGCGGATGCGACTGCCTAGAATAGAGATCGTAGAAGGCCCGGGGGAAACGGGACATGGTTCTGACGGGTTGATTCTCGGGTGTGCAATGGACATGGATATCGAACGTCTGGAGTCGCATCCACATTATGCTAGATGTCAGGTCGTGAACTTGATTTGCATTCGGGTTTGGCAGAAGGTGGATACTGGATTTCGCGCTGGCCATATTGACGATGAGGGATCTCATAGTCGGGAGGCGGACAGACCTCAACGCGTTCGTCAACCTCCCCCAACCGACTGAGGTGTCAACCTCAAACACCAGAGAGTGTAGTTTCGTCATCTGAAATAACACGGCGGGTTGTCGTGCCACAACAGTTGTGAGTATAGTTGTCAATCACGCGGGGTCTCACCACTCACCGTGTACATCCTGGTGAGCATGAACGATTAGCTTCTCGAGTGTATAGATACAATATTGCAGCAGAGTATGCAAAAGCTCTTCAGGAATGTCATCCACCTGTGAACATATGCCAAGAGGTCAGATCCTATGTCTAAGGACTAACAGAAGCGACCCCGATAGTGGTCGAGCGGATCAGTGACAAATTGCGGGGAAACCCCATCAATAGCCTCTTCCATACACTCAAGTGGTTTCATCTGTTCTTATAGGACCTAAAGCTACTCACATCTAACACGGATAGACCCAAACTGCGGCTCCTCGAGGGATCCGACGGTCCGGAGTCAGGGTATTTCCCTCGAATGGTCCGGATGCCCGTGCATCGCATGTGCTTCAGCGACTGGAATGAACAGACAAAGCGAAGAAATTCTGCTGAAGAGACGAAGCCGACAGACTCCAGCGTCAATTCTACCACAGGAGAAGATAGGCGTATCTGTCGGAAAGTCGCAGCATGAAACGAGACACCCCTGGTCCTGTCGCTCGATACTTAGGTTATTCCGAAGTACCCATTGGCGCAGATCAGGGACCCGCGATAGAAGTCGGATCGGGAAAGTCTCCAACAGGCAAGAAGAATGCTTGACGGTCCGATCGGGGGCCATTGTGATGGACTGAATGAGATCTGGCAGCTCCGGGAGTGAGTCGAGGACGTCGCAGAACGACCAGAGCCTATCCGGAGTTGAGATGCAAACAGCAGAGAAAAGGTGGAAGCGACTGCGCGGTAACCAGTCGCGGCAGGTCAAGGCGCAGCGACACAAAGTGTTGGCATCGTCAACACATTGGTCGATGACCGCTTCCTCCACCTCTACCGGGATGGAACGATTTGAGGTCATTGAGGCGGGATGCTGCGCTGTCTGTGAGAGACGGCGCTTGATGCGAACCTGGCAGTCTGGGGGCGGGAGGGGGACAGAGTGCAACGTCGATGCGGTGATTCTGGCTAAAATAAATAAGCTCCAAAGTCAAGGACAGACTGAGTATAGAGGCAGTACTGTACAGCAGCGCCAACATACTGCACAGGCAACTGACAGCTATACACAGATTTGCTGAGTATCTAGGTTCACGGTGTACCGATAATCCTCAGCCATCGTAGCGTTGGAAGAAACATCGCTGTCAGTCAGCAGACGTGAGTGTGTCTGTCTGTAGTTCATATCCAGACAGCAAGCACAACACCTGGCAGGGCTGTCGCTCGTCGCGGTTACTGGAGTCTGGCAGGAGACGAAGGCGGTGTGCGCGCCCAGAGGTATCTGCCACTGGGGCCAAACAAAGCCAAAGATTGCCGTGCCTGGCAGCCAGGAGACGTCGGTGAAAGGCCGGGCGTCGTCCTGCTCCCCGTCTCACATCCTCCAAGTTTCCCCTCCCGCTCTTTATAGTCGCCATTCAAGTCACTGTGTTATCTACACTACGTCCAGTGGACTCTTCAGTCGCCACACAAGCAGATCCCACGCCGTACTCGCGCTCCTAGAATCCTAATCAACATGCACGTGCTATCATATATCCCGAGCAGCCTCCTTGCCCTCTTCTGCGCCTGGTACCTTCTACCATCAGCTTTTGCTAATCGTGAGTGACATTTGTTAACACCCAATCTTTAGACGGGTGTTCTGGGAGATGGAGAGTGTAGACGCAAATCGACTAATCGCGAATTGGGCCTGGCATACAGCGTACTTCGTGATCAACACACCCACCACTGGAGTGCAATGGTCGAATAACGCCGTAAACCCCATTAAATGGACGAAAGGCCTTCTAGACGGCGTGACGAGCATAGACGTCGAACTCGCACGCATGAACGAGGACGGCATCATCTTCGTCGCACGAGACGGTATGTCCCTCCTCTCCTCCTGCCGTCTTCCCCGTCTAACCCCGTTTCTTCACCCCTCGCTTCCCGATCGCACGCAACAGTGCCCGCGTCGACATCGACAGGGGCGATCAATCTCTTCCTCCAAGACGTCCCTGCGGGCGACGACTACTACCTCCTCTTCATCAACTCCACGCACGGCGTGATGTACGCCGCCTCGCAGCGCTTCGCCATCGCCGACTCGGGCAACGGCTCTGTGCCCTCGCCCGCCTCGGGCGCCGCGACCGTCACCGTCTCCGGGGGCCCGAACCCCACCGTCGGCTTCGCGACGACGTTCCCCGCGTCTGCGAATAGCGTCGCCGCACCCGGATGGAGGGCCGTCGAGGGCGCGCGGACGCAGCTGGGCGCGATGGCGGGCGTGATGGCGGCGTGCGTCCTTGGAGGCGCTTTTGCAGTGCTGTGAAGTGCTGTAGGGCAGTGTGGGATCCCAGGAGCGGGAGGCGGGGTTGAGAGGCATGGGCTTGTCGGCTGGTCGCCGAGGTGCGTGTGGCATATTGGTTAGATCTATCTTATCTTGGGACTATGGGCTATCATAGGTAGTGTGTTCCTGTCGCGCTGTTACCTATGGACTGCGAATGGCCAATACGAATAGTACGACGCGATTCCGACTGTGTCCTACGCCCAAGCCACGGCTCGCGACTCGTTTCCGTCGTGCGCCTCGGAAGAGAAGAAATACCTGTCGCCATGCTGTCCGCGGTGACACCGGCGCCGCTCTTCGCCTTCTCGCGTCGGATTGTTTGAACTCAACTGTTTCCAAGCCTTGCAACATCCACAGCCTTGTGGTTGACCCCTCTCATCATGTACAGATGTCTCCTTTGGCATTGACGCGGACGGGCGTATCTCCAGCCTCGGACCTGGGAGCTCGCTGTCAGTCACATGCATATACAATATATTTGAGAGGAGCGCAAATGTCCCGACGAGATGTCGAACACTCATGTGAAAATTGTTTCTATCCGGTAGTGATCATCTACACAGGTGAACGTAACGTATGGTACAGTCTATGATGGTACTGCTACTCGCATCTGGTCCCCGCCCCCAATGCCAACACAGACCCACATCTAACATCTAGAGATCCTCTCACCCGCCCAGCTTAGACGTTCAGGTGCCCGACCTTCTCCCAGTACTGCACGTACCGCAGCGCGTCCTCACGTCCGATCGGACGCACCCGAGCGAGCGCCCTCGACGCCTTGACAGCCTTGTCCGTGCTCAGCGCGACCTCCGCCCCGCCCATGCCCTCGCTCTTGAAGAATCCGACGAGGTTGTGTGCCGCGTCGTGCTGCTCGACCCCGGCCCGCGCGCTCGCCGCCGCCGCTGACTGCTCGAGGCGCGCGACCCACTCGGCGTAGGGGACGACGGGGACGCCGAGGTACTCCGCGATCGGGTGGAAGACGGTGTTCCAGGGCACGGGGTGCGGCGAGACGACGTGCAGGGCGCGCTCGGGGCTGGCGACCATCTCTTGCAGGGCGGCGGCGACGACGTCGACCGCAACCCAGGTGATGCTCTGGGGGAGGGAGTGAGTACTGAAGTCGAAGGATTAGGGGGTGAGGGGAGACAGTATGATGCTTACCTCGTCCTTCGAGGGGATGCACCCGAGGCGCTTGCTGACGCGGGTGAGCGCGGCGACCCACTCGGTCGTGTTCCACCCGCCCGTCTGCTGGTCTCCGCTCACTTGGCCGACACGCACCGCTACGGTGCGGAGGCCCGTCCGCTCTGCGGCACGCCGGAAGAGCTGCTCGGTCACCCACTTACTCTCGCTGTAGCCGGAGCCATGGGCAAGCTCAGGGCCGACCTCGATTGTCTCCTCGGCTGGGACTGGGCCAGTGTGGTCTGGCGCCAGAGGGGTCAATGTTGAGGTTACCTTCGGAGATGTGAAAGCACCTACTGCGTAGAGAGGATATTGAGCTGACGAAGAGGGTGCGCGGTCCACCGGGCTGGGAGGAGTTGAGCGCGAGGTCGAGGAGGTTCCGCGCGCCGGCGATGAGCGGCTCAAACGAGGGCAGCGAAACGTTGAAGTCCACTCGCCATGCTATAGGCACATTGTCAGACCATACAGGAACCTCCTTGATGAACATAGTACTCACCGTTGTGGATGATCTGTGTAACGCTAGTGCGCATCTGTGAGTAACCAGACTTGTCAGCTTGGGCCCTTGCTCATGTCCAAAACAGCCCTAACCTCGTCGTACAACGCCTGGCTCAATCCAAAGTTCGATTTCGCAAGGTCGACGGCATGGAAGGACACCTTCCCGTCCTGGAGCAGCGATTCGTCCAAGCTCCACTGCTTGAACGCTTCCCGCGACCGCTTCTTGAGGTTGTCCACAGATCCCGACGGGTCGCGGTTCAGAGCGTACACGCGAGCGACGTCCGGACGCTGCAGGAGTTGCGCGAGGAGATGCGAGCCGAGACGGCCCGTGGTGCCCGTAACAAGGAGGACCTCAGTAACACCGTTCGCATGGCCATTGGCGTGGCCGTTAGCGTGTCCGTTGACCGCCTTCTCGGGGAAACGCCGCTCAAGCCCAGCACTGTACTTGTCGAGCAGCGCGACCATGCGCTCGATGCCCGCAGCGCGGTCCACGTCCTTGTCGACAGTCTTGCCCGAGAACAAGCTGGCAAGGTATGCAGAGAGCGCGCTGATGCTCGGGTGCGCGTAGACGAAGCCGGACGGGATGTCGTGCGTGTTCACGCTCGAGGAGGAGCGGAGCGCGTGGATGAGCGTGTTCCGGATCCACGTCGCCTGCAGGCTGTCGCAGCCCTGGAGGAAGAGGTCGTCGTCCGCCTGGATGCTCGCGTTCTTCATGACCTTCTTCACGATGTCCCCGACGAACTCGTGGATGGACGCGGGAGTCCAGTTGCGCGGAGGGGGGAGGTCGATCTGCGAGGATTCCTCGACCCGCTTGTACAAGGCGTCGATCTCATCGGCATACGCTGCGAGGCAGACCTGCCGGCGAGGGGTGCCCTTAGCAGTGTACTCCAAGGGCTTGTCCGGCTTCGTCACCATGATCATCTGTACAGTTGCTGTAAGTGTACTGCGATTGCAGCGAGGCACCGTCTAACGCACCTCTTTGAACACGCGGGAATGAGAGGGAGCAAAGGCGTTCATCTTCTCGATCGAAGGCCTGTCGCATTCCCTTCAGTGAAATTTGAATATTGATATATGGAAGCATACGCTACACACCATATCTTGTTTCTGTACTCTTCGAGTTTCGCCTCGTCACTGGGATCGAAAGTGTCCTTGGGCTGGATGAGGATGCCGTTCTGGAAACGTCCCCGTCCAAACATAAGGCATGCATGGACATGAGGGTCCTGGACCAAGATCGCCTCTATACAGAGGCAAGGACCCCATCAGTTCAATGACCAAGTTATCCTTCCAAGTCTGATATGAACCTCACCTAGTGGTGCTGGGTTCGTCTGTCATGAATGGGTCACTTCAGGCTCTATTTCCTCGTTCAAAAGGGGGACGTTCTTTCACTCACCTTCTCACCAGTCGATAGCATCAGTTGGTCGTCGGCACGACCGAACACCCGGAAGAGATTATGCTTGGTCGGATGCTGCTGGACAAGGTCGCTTGTCGAGTACGCCGGGCGGCCATCGATGACCGAGTTGAAGACATTTGGCGTGAAGGTTGGCGAGTCCTGAAAGATGCTAGTGAGAAGGCGCACTCAACTGTGCCGATCCAACGAGGGAAGCGCACAAATGCCACAGGTTCAAAAATTCCTGGCTGCTCCTCTTGAGGGATCAAGCGAATGTCTATGTGCGGGGAAATCTGGAAATAGTCCCAATCTGTCTTGTACATCGTCTTCGGGTTCGGGATCAGGCGCACAACGGCGCCGATCTCGGTGCTAAGAGAATGTCCCATGAGCAGCGCCCTTCATAGGAGGATCCACACCCGAGACATCAAATCGGGAAAGGACACTCACGAGCCATAGAACGGAATGAGCGCGATGTCCTCGGACGCGAGGCGATCGCCGATCTGCTTGTTCATCGGCGCGCCGGCATAGATCTATCGGTCCGCCGGAGGTTAGGTCCATTCCTCGGACGCGCCAAACGATGTTTCGTACCATCGCCCGGAGTGTCTTGATTCTGGGCATGTTCTCTGGATCCCGCGCCCATGCCTACACCATGGTCAGTCATTGCTTATACTGCGTTACTCGAGCGCTCTACCTCGATGAATGCCGGGACGCAGTACACAATCTCAGTGTGAGTTGAGATGGCAGACTGCAAATACAACTCTGGAGTCGGCACCACGGGTGGGGTGGACGGCTTGAACATCGTCCAGATGACACCAGCGTATATCTGAAGCGCGAACTCATCGGCACGGCGATTCATGATCAAGGTAGTGAAGAGCGACCCACCGACCAAGTCATCATGAGCGAACCCATTACGTCTGAAAGGGAGCAATTCAGCGTCCAGAACAGAAGCCGCCGATAAGGTCACATACGGAACATAGGGTTCGCCTGGCCGCCGACGCGCACCCCACAGAAGTCGAACTCTCCGAAATCTGCAAATTGGCCTATTTTAGAATTAGCCGCATCGGACCGGGCGAGCCACTCACATACGAACGTCCCCCACTTCCTGAAGTTCTTGTCCAGGAACTTGATCGGCTTCGGGAACGCCGTAGAGCCTGTGTCATGATCCATGAGCATCGGGGTCGGTGCAAGTAGCAGCACCGAAAATCCGCCCGCGCCTTCAAGGAACTGAACTTACCAGACGAATGCAGAATGACACACGTCTTCGTCGGACTGACCTTTCCCATGGGCAGCAGGTTCTCGTCCCCGCCCGGGCCATAGAGATCCTCGAACGTGGGCATGGGAAGCGGCTCGAACTCGTTTCCATCCTTCGCGAGAATCTCATTGGCTTCTTGCGCGAGGCGCTGCATTGCGGGGTCCGCGCTCACGTACATCTGCTTGACGCCGGTCTTAGAGACAAGGTGCGCGACCGCGATCGCCGAGTTACGTGTCGAGATCGGGAAGGGCGTAAGGCCGAGATACATGAGACCGACTTTCAGGGTGTAGAATGTTATTGAGTCTAGACGAGCGGAGCGCGAGGAACTTCCATGTCAGCCAGAAGAACACACGCAGAGCCGCGGAATGATGGACTGTGGGACGGGCTCATGCGCACCTGCTGTCGCGAGGATACCGATGACAGGGGGATCATCCTCGCTCTTGCCCACTTGCGCCTCCTCATAGTACTTCGCCAGCTGGTTGTAATGTGCGGACGAAAGCGTTGCGGACTTCCGGATGGCGCGCCATACCTCTCGGAAGTGGATGACATGCTCCTTTTGGTCGTCGTCGGCGTAAACGAAGACGGGATGCTCCGCGCTGTGCTTCGCGTGGAACTCGAAGAGTTCCGGGATCGTCAGGGACGTGTCTAATCCAGGAGGCGTGAAAGTCTTGCTGCTGGCTCCCTGGTAGGTGTGCACTGCGGGGTTGTAGAATCCGGGCGCGTTCTTGAGGGACATCGTAATGCAAGACAGCAGGTGCGACAAGCAGTGAGGGGGGGGTTCGTTTGAAGTCCTGTCGCTCTGTCGCGGTAGGGTTTATAAGGTCTGTCCAGGTCGCTCCGCAGGGCAGACTTCTTGTTGAGGCTTCGCGTGAGCGTGATGGAAGAGAAGATCGGACCCCTTAATGCGCCCATCGGTACTGCAGCCGTAGCCGGTGCGATCTGGCATGTATGAACCACGTAGCTGGGATCCGGGGTGCACTTCGCTGGGACGCTGGTATCTGCGCGGGAGGATAACCATGGGAGACAGAAGACATAGCCGCGGAACGAAGCCTCTGTCGGATACTGAGCAAGCGCTGATCCGAAGATCATTTGTGCGCTCTACGAGCTGTGGCAGAGTGAGCGAGGCTTATGGCGATATCAGCTTGCTGCTTGTCATTGCCCTGCTCTGCTTAGGTATCCTGTGCAGATGTCGATTGAGAGTGAAGTGCTTCTGTGGGACCTTCATGCCATGAGTCAGGAATCCGTCGTGTAATGAGAATAGAAATCGGGTCACCGACTTTCCCATGCATGCTGAACGAGCCGGAAAACGGAAGACAAGCGTGGCAACATACTTCGTAAGGACAAATCTTCCTCCAGAATATCATCGTTACGAGACGACGGACGCATGGTGATCCCTATCCTCGCCGTGCCGGATGAACAGAAGACTCCCGCATCTACTGATTGGGAGCGTGGTGTTCTGACCAACAGGCGGTAGAAGAGAGACTTGGCCGTCTACGGAATGTGCCTCTCAACGTCCGACCAGGCTCGAGCCCGAGCTCCAACGCCAAACGTTGACGATATTGTCTTGATCTAGCACCCATCCTACCGCTTCCCGACAATGCGGCAGCTACATACCCGCATCAACCGATTTTGCTTTACTTACGCTCCTTACCGCACAGTTTGCCGTGAACAAACGCCAGTTTCAAGGTGGGAGGGCCAGGCTGCGAACGGCTGGTATGAAACGGTCTCCCCCGGCTACTACTGTCAGTTAGCGCCCCGTCCACGTTGTGCCACTGATCCCCGCGGAACAGCCCGATTTGCCGAACGGCACCGCGCACACATCGCTATACTTACTTGAACGCTGCGGAAATCCTCTAGGCGGCAAGTCAGTTATGGTTTCGGTTGAATAATATCGCCGCAAGAACAATTGACAGAAGTCAGATTGAAGTATCGAGGCCTCTAACGTCAGCCCGCAGGAGTTGATGCGTCTGGTGACCGTCTGCGGTGACAAGTCTCCGCGATGGCCGGTCACAAGAGATCGCCTCGAAGTTCAGAAGCACTGGGGGGCACGCCAGCCGTCGGAAGGTAGGGCGCTGATACTTGTGCAATTATCTTCGCCAAGGTGCGGAGAAACTGCTGAATCCGCCATGATGACAACACAGAGTTGCGCGTGGGGCGAAACAAGAGCGGAGAAATACGGGTGTGATACCGAGAGCTTGGGGGCGACAACTTTCCATTCCATAGTGGGATGTGTGACAAGAGGGGTCGTCGAACATATTGGGGTTCAGAGAGCAACATGACATAAGGTCGCGATCGAAGATCTGGCTAGGATGAAGTTCGACACCGCGGCGGCAATCCGAGCTTGAGTAACGTCTTTGCCGAATGTCAAGAGGTATGAACAGACCTAGATATGTGACCCGCCGGCAAGCAAAATACAACACACACATAGACTACTTACTACAAGCAGCAAGATCATGATTGCCAGCGGGGCGCATTGTTGATCGCGAGACATGATAGCAAATTGCCCTGAAACAGACTACTGGGCTTCTCAACTCTGCGACATCTATTGACCCGATGTGAAATGAATTGCGCAGCAGACAAGTGTTTTGGACAATGATTATTGTCCAGGGTCTATGACAGCGTAACTCGTGCCACCCCCTCGCCGCTTTACATCTGCTTTGTCTCTAGTAATATATAGGTTAAGGGCTCGCAGCCCAGGATCCTCGTCCCCTCGCCCTTCGGGAGCTCGCGCTCCTCGAGCTTTCGTTTCTCCTCGAGCGTTCGTTTTCACCCGCCCTTCCGCTGCCCCATTTTTGGTTTCGCTTAGCTACGTCTCATGTATCAGGTACATTCGCCTTTCGCCGGCTTGAGCTCGGCCCACCGGTCGCGCGAGAGAGCGGCGGCGACACGGACTCGGTGGTCCCGCGCAGCTTCCGTAGCGCGCGCCCAATACCATCGTTTTCCGTCCTCCCAGAGTATAGCGTGCATAGACTGCCACTTTCTAGAATGCAGTAGACTCAGAACACCACAGGACACCGTGCACAAGCTGTACGATGAGCGCAGCACTTGTAAGACAACTTGTATGCTTCTGCATTGTGCGCAGAGGGCTTATACTACACCAGTATCAACAGACGACTGATTTCTTCGCTGCGTAGCATCGGACAACAGCGTTCTCAGCCCCCCCAGTTGGCTAGAGGGAAACCCGAGCATCGAAGAGACGTTTCACCAATGGCGGCCGTCTGCATGGTGGACAGGCAGAATCGACACTTGCCCGACTGCAGAGTAGCAGATCGCGTCGCGCTGTGTATCACATAGTCAACCTAGAAGAGGGAACTATCAGGAGAAAACATACTTAGGCTAACATTCCTACAACATGCCCACCTCTAGCCCTGGACCGCATTCCTAGCTGCTCACACAAACATCAATTACCGAGCTTCCCCGTAGAAACCTAGGGGTGATGAATGGCTGCCTCAGTTCGTCGTGAGCAACGATTTGTACGGAGAATTGCTACAAGAGACACGATGCCAGGGAGTCCGGTCGAATAGAATGACTCGAGGCATCGCACAAAGCGGGAACATACTTCAAAGGGGCAGCACATGACAAGTCCCCTCAGGTACTTAAGAGCATAATCTGTTCTCCGGGACACTGCAAGTTGGTTGGGACGAAGAGAGATTAGTGCAGGCCAGGTTCCGCGAGTTGCGGAGCTCCGTCAGACGCCCGACTTGGCGGACCCCGGAAACTGGGTATGCCACATCGAGCTCCGGAACATCTGCACACTCGTTCACTACCGGGCTGAACACATCCTTGCCGCTGGCCTTTGAATGCTTAGTACTGGGTGTGATGCACATTGGTGTCAGCAGCACTGGGAACTTTCGCTACGTGTGCAGCTCGCGCAGCTTGCCCTCGATGCATATGACAAGTTCTTGAGACGGCGGCGAGGACCTCTGCCCGACGATGTGCTGCCAACGGAAGGGGGTATAATTGGCAGTTTGCTCATCCTGTTCTTGGCACAGATAGGCTCATCTACTGCGGAGGACTGTACCTTTGCGCTGGGCTCACCACAGGTTATATGAGAAGTTCACGGCAAGCCCGGTACTATCTAATGGTGGGGCTCCACCGATCACTCGGAGGAGGATGCGATACGCTACGACATAGGTACTTACTTGAAGATACCCCGATCGTCTAGATCGCCGTGGCTGACGTTCTATTGAAATTTTGGTCCATTAGCTTCATTGGGCTCTCAAGGCCTCCTTACTGATATCGCCCTTGCCTCGCGTAGAATTCTGCGGAAGAGCATTCCCACGAGCGTCCTTCCAGGCGCCAAGACGGTAAATATTGCAACCCGTGCCTCTCGTGGATGATAAGGGACACTGAGCGGAGAAGTAGAGCGATTCCACTGGAGCTATACCGAGACGGAAGAATAGACAGCCTGAGAACCTCGTATCATCACATGGATAACGCTATCGGGCGCGGCTTCTTGATGGCGCCTTATAGAGCCAACGGCTCCAAGCGATTCCCGCGACTTTGGCCGTCCCTCCCAATCATCGCGACCGTCGTTCAAGATGAGTACCAAGGGATCCTTTGGTGACTCGGACGAGAAGAACGTTGTCGACGTCGGCGTTACGCATGTGGCCGTCGCGGATAAGGAGGTCGATACCGCTGCTCAGCTCGCAGCGGCTCTTGACGAGGAGCTGAGCCCGGAAGAGGCTAACAGGATCCGGAAGAAGATTGACTGGCATGTCCTGCCTCTCATGTGCAGTAAGCTCAAGTTGATCCGCTCTTCTGATACGGTAGCTCACTACGACTACGATATGTTGGTTGTCAGCTCTTTATTGGGTTCAATTCATGGACAAGACGACATTAGGAAGCTCGGCTATCCTAGGCATCAGGTAAATGACGCAATACGAGGAGTGCTCTTGCAACTGGTCTAATCTGTGTCTAAGGACCGCAACGCACCTCACGACTAACCAGTACGTCCCGCCCCTCCACGCTCTCTCTACCCCTTAACTCAATTTGTACCATTCAGGTATAACTGGTACGACACCCTTTCCAGACCCGAACCTTCCTGTCGTTGACGTGTCTCTCAGGCTCGGAACGATATTCTACCTCAGCTACCTCGTCTTCGAATACCCCCAGAACCTTGCTCTTCAACGATTCCCCGTTGGCAAATGGATGAGGTGCGATGCTCTCGCGCAACTCGAGCGGCCTTAGCGCGGCAGCTGACTGATACTTTGCAGCGCCAATATCTTTGTGTGGGGCGTGGCGCTGTGTTCGCACGCGGCATGCAAGAGCTTTGGTGGACTATTCGCTGTCCGCTTAATCTTGGGCATGTGCGAAGGCTCTATCACCGCTGGCTTTTTGATCGTCAGCTCTATGTTCTACACACGCAAAGAGCAGACCCTGCGAGTCGGGTACTGGTGTGAGTGTCGCCTAGAGCAAAGATAGCTCTCTGTCGTGTGGTGCTTGTGAGCTGACTACCCTTTGACGTCCGGCAGTCTTGATGAATGGAACAGGTGCGTAGTAGACAGTTGCATTGGCATGGCCTTATGCTTAGTCGGGTCGCGTCTTTCACAGCCCAGATCATCTCTGGTTTCCTGAGCTTCGGGACCTTGCATATCAAGACCAAGAACTTCGAGCCATGGCAATGGTGCGTACTGCTCATCTTTTCCAGCGTGGATGAGTCCTTGACGAGGCCGCGTAGGCTCATGGTCATTACGGGAGGTCTGACTATCATCGTGGCCGTTCTGTATTGGTAAGTGCGACGAAGATTCACGTCGACGGCCAATTCACCATTTGATATAGGTTTCTTTTCCCTGACTCGCCTACGAACGCGTGGTTCCTGACGCAGGACGAACGTGCTAAAGCGGTCAAACGTATCCAGGTCTGCCCTAGCATGTTATCATATGGGTCCGATCGGACACTCAGACTTTAGCAGGAAAACCAAACCGGTGTCGAGAACAAGCACTTCAAGATCGAGCAGTGCGTGTCTACGTCACCACTACCTGTCTTCGTCTCCTCATCTGTTGCAGGTTCTACGAAGCTCTCACTGATCCGAAGACCTGGCTCTTCGCGCTCTTCTCGGCGCTCGATAACATCCCGAACAGCTTGACGAACCAGAGACAAATCATTGTCTCTTCGTTCGGCTTCACGAACCTCCAGACGACTCTCCTCGGCTGCGTAGACGGCGTCATTGAAATCGTTACTATATTCACTGGCGTCCAACTGGCTGCGCGCTACAAGGATAGCCGCGCGTACGTCGGCGCCATCTACTTCGTACCTAACATCCTTGGAGTGCTCCTGATCAACTTCCTCCCATGGAGCGACAAAGTCGGGCTGCTTTTCGGGTAATGGCTCACTGGCGTCGGCACGACTGGCTTCGTCCTCTCTTTGTCGTGGCTGTCGAGCGTTACTGCCGGACACACGAAGCGTGTAACCGTCAACGCGATTATGCTGATCGCCTATTGCGTCGGCAACGCGTCGGCGCCGTTCATGTGGCAGGCGAAGTATAGGCCTCGGTGCGTACTCAGATCCTCTTCGTCTCAGGGGTCGCATAACATGCTCACGCCGGGAACGGTACAGAAACCATGTGCCGTGGATTATTATCGGTATCAGCTACGTCATCTGTCCGCTCTTGTTGCTCGTTATCCGAGCTCTACTCGCACGCGAGAACAAGAAACGAGATGCGGAGCCTGTGGACGATAAATATGAGGACTTCTATATTGAGGTTGTCTTACCCGATGGTACACGAACCGAACGTCGCGTGGACAAGGTACGTCTTGTAGATCCGCTGTTCAGCTCCTCAGCTGACGTAGCGTGCGTTAGGAATTTTTGGATTTGACGGATGTCCAGAATAGAGATTTCAGATACGTCCTGTAATGAATACGATACGTATGCCCAACATCTCGCTTTAGTTTGCTCGAGAGAATACTCTTTGGTCATATTGGTAATGTCTCTGCTCCACTCGACCTGCATACAAAGGAACATCGTTGTGGCCTGTACGCCACTCGCTGCCGGGTTGAATGCATGACATCGGGAGAGCCCTCGCAGCCAGCTTTGGATTTCGTGCGGCCTTGTTCCTGGTTGTCCGTTACTCATTTTTGAACCACCGCCTTGTACGTATACCTGCATACCTGTCATCTATCAACAATGATTCCGTTGATTACTTGAAAGCTTCACATTGCAACTTGATTCGCGTGGTGTTCGAGTCGTGTGCACGTTTTCATAAGGAACTGCTTGTTGACCTACAGGGCGATTGCAGAGTACGATACAGCCGCAAGTTTAGAGGTACTGTCGTCGCCGTGCACCGCCGTTCCCAGCGATGTGAATAGTCATTCTGGGTTATCTCAAGTGAAAATACAGGCTAATATTGGTCATATATACGGTAAGCTGGTCAGAGCACTACTCCCTAGAGATCTCGGTGGGTTCTCCTGTCACATCTCCGTCCACGTTGTTCCCCTCCGCGCCCGTCTTATCATCCGTCTGAAGATAATCATCGCGCGCAATTGAAGCCCCAAGCGAACCAAAGACTCGGTCAAAAATGATAGATCGGTCGAGATTCGTTGCTGAAGTCTGCGAAGAGGGTATAGAACCGACACCCCGGAGACTCGGAGACTGTAGACGCAGGAGGAAGCGCGACACGAGGATAGCGGATATTCTACCCAGGCAAAAACGCAAGTGCAAATATATAATCCGTCAGCGTGATGTCACAGAGTAAGTGATCGGAAGATGCACATACGGGGTTGTGAAGGTAGTGATCGCGCTAGTGCTGGCGAGCGTAGTCAGGTCAATCTGCTGCCAGTCAATGTCAGTATTTGTTGATTGAAGAAAAAGTATAGCATCACAGAGAGCAACGTGAAAGTCAGGTGCGGACAATTGAGGACGACCAAGGTTCTAACCGAGCTAGCATTGTGAGCTTTGTCGTACTTGGAGAGCGTGTGACTCACGAGAAATAGACGGTCCTGCCGGTGGGCAAAGCTCTATCAGTCACGTCTTACGAATGTGATATGCACATGCAAACCAGCGCGCACCATCGACTAAGAAAACACTGGAAATATTGCCTTGCAGCATCCCCGCACGGCGAAAGACATGGGATCGTCCAAGGGCAAACCATGTAACTCCACAAGCAAGACAGTCTGCTGTAATGAGGCACGAACGAGATATGATCACAACTGACCCAATTCACATCAGGTATGAGCGAAAGCCGGCATGAATATGTATCTTACATCTGGATCAAATAGGACGCGCTGTCATCAGGAACCTTGCATATATTGTTGTCTTGAACAAGAAATCACTTTTGCGAGAGATTTGTGGTGATATTGTCCATCTCAGTACATCCGAAAAGGGGAATGTTCTGGCCCGTGATCTCAAGCCGGAATACCGCCTGACCATTCAAAGAAGTCAACATGGTGGTAACACATCTGCTGTGAAGGAGCCCTACGAAGTTAACTCCAACAGGCACTATGGATAAGACAAAGGTGATGAGGCATAAGGGCAAGCTCTTCAACAAAGCATGAACGCGTATCGACGTAAAGCCTAGAACGGCAGCATTTGTGAGAATCGCTCCTGAATGGACTACACGATAAGCACTACTCACTTGCTAGAACTAGGTAAAGCGAGTAACTCAGACCAGCAGTCCCCATTATCGAGAAAGCACAGCTACAAGCATAAGTAACTCCAGTAATCGTGCTATGCACAAGTGGAGGATTCGCTCACCTCTGATGGTTTCATGAGATCAGGTTCAGCGTCAGCCTGCGGGTCAGAGAAAAAAAGTCATTATAACCCACCTTGTCTGATATCTTGAAGTCGGTTCCTATATTGCAGACGAGGGAAAGCAAGGTGATTTACTTGTTGAGCCAAAATAAAACAGCTGCGCCCGTCAGTTTTCGTCCCCAAAAACACCGGATCTCTTCTCCTGTTGTGATAAGTGAATCGTAGAAGAATACGACTGTAGTACGCCCCCGTTAGGGATTCTTTATTCAATGTGAAGGACTACGACTGAGTCAGAATACCTGATCCGGCGATCCAGCAATAATTTGCGGTTATGCTATGGTGTTCCGGGATCTTTTGTGTCTGTAACTTAAGGTTGCCAATGGAGGAGATGTGACATACAAGCCAGCATATTGCGCAGCTAACTGGTCTGTCTGCGAGGTAGACATGACAGCGGGGATCTGAGGCTAGACTCGGCAGGGTCTGCGGGACGTGCTTCATGGCAAGCCTAGGGAGGAGAGAGCATTTGTATTCCATTCTGTGACCTTGATGACCCATTATATGATAGAAGGCTTCGCTCGCCGGCGTTGGGCGCGGTTCTCATTTCACTAAATCGCCCTTGTATCCGCATCAGGGAGGGTCTAGAAGCCTCACTATCGAACTTAGAACTCGTGGTCCTCTGAATTCATATATTAACTCAGCCCACACTCAAAGTTTCGTGGGACGAAGGGATTGGCGCAAGGCTAGGAAGGCGATATCAGAGTACTTGAGCCAGTAGGACAAACTTCGGATTACGAGATCCCGAAGCGAAGGCAGAAGCTCATCGAGTAGATCCTGTAGCATCTATCACTTAAGGTTAGATGTACAGACGCGTAGCATGCGGAAGGCCGTCCACAAATAGCTAGGAAGCGGCGTGTGCGTTTCGTTATGCTCAATCGCGTCGTATCTTTCCTTTTGACGCTTACGCGAGAGCTCCGTCCAAGAGAGCTGGACGTTAGAGAAAGCTGCGACGGTTCTATGACGCAAGCCTCATTCCGCATCGCCTTCAATCAAAGCGCAAGAAACAGCAAGCGTACCTTCTGATGCAGATTCATCTACACGCCTGGTCATTCACGATTTTGGTTTGAATCCTATGTGTGTTTCAACCTCATCTGTCAGCGCACCTACCAACTATCACCCCTTGCAACCAGAAGAGCACTTACTTCTTCTCATTCTCGACCTGATAGCGCTATGTAGTTCATCACGTGCACCAGCAGTCAGGCGGGACTTGTTACAGGTTAGAAAGCTTGATGAGAGATAAAAAAAGCAGGGAGGGTGCGTGCGCACCTCATTGCCTCACATTCACCTCCCATTCCTCTCTATGTCCGGGAACCCTGCTTAGAAAGGAGACGTAGCTTTCTTGATAAGTGTGATTTGCCTGTCATACAGCGGCTTCGTATGATTCCTCAACCGTGGATACCCTTAAAAGAAATACACTCATGACAGGCCCGTAGTGCACCAGTTAGTCATGGAGGACTCGAATCCGATGATTTATCTGCTGAGTCTTCAAGCTCGTTCTACATCAGACTTAATGAGAATGGCATCCACAACAATGGAGCTGGAAGCAGGAGAACGAGTCGCGACACATCTCCTGGAAGCTGTAAAATAGACGCGTCGGTGTCTGCGGTGAACGCCTCGAGGACAATGTCGGCGAGGACCTGGGCCTGTGTTGGACCGCATTCGAAGCTGTATAGGGAGTCTAAGTAGGCTCGAGTCCAACCTTGGGTTTTCGAGCTTGCTCAAGATGCGCAATCTGTCGTAATAGACTCTGCTATGTAGTCATCTCTGGATATGGCTTTGCTTGCTGCGACTCGTTGGACAGGAAATTTAGTCGGCATCTCGTTCAGGCGCGCTGTTAGCGGGGCTGTAGCGACGCAATGAGTCAAGCACACGCTGAGTGGAATTAAAGGGATGCAATTTAGAGGCAAACTCGCACTTACTAGTCAAAGCACGACTCGTCGCAAGAAAGTGGCCAGATGAGGCCGCGAGCACCTCAAAAGCAGGCGCGCGGCTCCCAAGATGCTTACATAAGCATAATGATGGCTGAAACGGGAAATGCAATGTTCAGCAAGTACTCGGCATTCGGGCTTGCCTGTAGATCTCTGCATTGTTCTCCTGCCTACTCTACTTTCTTTGTCGTATCTTAGTCTCTCACACCATCGGAAGACAGCGCCAGCTCTGATTCAACTCACTCCCCGCTCTCTAGTAACTTGACAAAGGCTTCTACGCGCTCTCTTGCCTAGGCTTTCGCTTCTTACTGCTGGCTTGGCTGGATGGCTACTAGTTTCCTCCCGGTTCTCGCTCAGGATGATGTAACACGTGCTGCTCAGGTGAGTACTGCCTCTGGCATTCGTGGCCACGGGAGTGTGGCGCCGTCGCTGACGGCGCTGTTGCAGTTGATACAACAGTCCTATGCTCCCCAAGTCTCCTCAGATGAGCAACGGCTGCTCCAGCAAGAGCTCTTTGAGATACAGCGTCGCCCAGAAGCATGGGGCCTGATTCTGCCATTTCTGAGCCACACCGATTCCAGCGTGCAATTCTTTGGTGCACACACCTTGCAGGTCAAGATCGCGCGAGATTGGCGAGTGTAAAGCTGCATTGCGAGCTTGACTGTTCTGACTAAGTCCCTGTAATCAGGGATTCTGTCCCGGAAGACGCGACGACACAGCTGAAGGATATGGTGCTCGATCTGACGGGGCGTGCGGTGGTGGCCGGGCAGAACAAAGTAATCCTCCGTAAACTCTTCGTTGCAGTGCGTCGCATCCTGTCTGCTGGACTACATATTCGTCTGCAATTGTGTGTAACGACAGATCACTTCTCTTGCAATCAAACTACATCCTGGGAACCCTTCTCGTTGGCCAGATTGGCTGCGTTCGACCATCAACATATTGTCCGGCATGGGCGTGCCCCCGGAACACTTGCTGGATTTCCTGTCCATTGTCGCAGAAGAGATGGAGAGCGCGGATCTCCTTCCACCGAGCAAGTTCGTCCATGCGTCTGGAAGCCGTTCTTTCCATCAGCGAGATCCTCACACGTTTTGCGCCCCACAGAGCCCAGATGCAGGCTACCCTTGCTAGCGCAGAGCCCATGGTTGTCCAAGCAATCAGTACCTGCATCAAAACTCCAGAACTGCAGCGTTCGTCGCATGAACTGACCTCGGCCCTGAAGTGTTTGCAGGCGTGGATGTCTGTCTTACCAGCTAAGTAGGTTCCCGCCCAATCAGTATCCTGTGGAAGCCAGTTGACGACATCTGTTCCGATCAGCGACCTGACACCACTCATCCCACTCCTGGTCTCCCTTATGATTCCCAAGACGGAGTCTCCCAGCCCTGAGTACGACGAGCAAGCCTTCATCTCCGCCTCCGACACGCTTCAAGAGCTTCTTTCGAGTTCGGCGCTCTCCGACGGCGCAGGCACCAGAACCGTCACGGAACCGCTTCTGCTCTGGCTCGATCGGTATGGCAATGCGATCGTTCAAGCGACAATCAACAGTTTGTGCCTGCCTCCCCCCCTAACCTCGCCGCCTCGCTGATCGACTGCCTTTACAACCACATAGATGGCTTCGTCGACGACATCTCACATTCCCTCTGCAAGCTCCTTGTCGCACTCGGGGACCACTCTGCAATGTACTTTGCGAAGAACATCGCTGCGCCCGCCCGCGTCTCGTCCCCTCCACCCTGCCCGTTCCCTTTGCCGAGCCCCTTGCCCCCGGTCTCGCACCTGGTGCAGAACTTCCTCCGCCTCCTCCTCGCGTACACCGCACTCTCTGGATACTATGGCATCGACGAGGACGAGAGCGAGATGACGCTGAGTTTCTGGTACTTGTTCCAGGAGGCGCTGTGGAACTCGGACTACGGGTTCGATGTCGCCGAGGACGGGGACGAGGGGCAGTTGGAGGTGGAGAGGGAGCGAGATATGATGCCCGTCGCCAAGGCGGTGTATATGGAGCTGGTGGGCGTGCTGAGGAAGAAGGTCGTGTGGCCGTCGAGGGCAGTGTTCAATGGGTGGCCGAGAGGCGAGTGTTTGTTTCTGCGGGCTGTCGTGGGCGGGGTTGCTCAGGTGCTTTGCAGATCAGCGGGACAAGTTCAAAGCGTGGGCCCTTGGTCGAATTTTATGTTTTGCGGTCACTGATTGGACACTCTAGGTATCGACGAGACGTCGGGGACACGCTTATAAATGCGTATGCCACTCTGCTAGAGTCGATGCGCGTTATCTTACTCTCGGTTTCCGCAGTTACTATATCTTGCGAGACGATATGTTGTCGTTCTACGTCAGCGACACCCTTCAGCGTTTGACGGCACGACAAGCCCATGAGGAGTGGAATGTAAGAAACTAGTTCTCAGTCCAGAGGTGGCATTACTCACGGAGACGCGCAGGAAATCGAAGCAACTCTGCACTGTATCATGGCTGTTCAAGAAGCCGTCCCGGTAGAGGACTCGCCGCATCTACGTCAAGTTTTCGGGCCAGAGATCCTCGGCAGGTTACCGAGGACAGGCGACGATCGCGTCCGTACGACCGCGCTCTATCTGATTGGTGAGTGGTCTGCCTCGTTGCTTGTTCATGCGTAGTCACCGCGACCGCTTCCCTGTTTCCAGGAAGTTACGCATCATGGTTTACGACGCAACCGGCTCAGGGGCCACAATCCCCCACGCCCTCGCCGCTCATGAATGCGATCTCGTATGTCGTATCCGCGCTGACAGATTCGTCGCTGTGTCTCTTCGCCGCGAACGCGCTACGAGACTTGTGCGATGCGAACCGTACGGCGTTAGCACCGCACATTAGCGCGTTCGGAGAGCTACACGCCGGATTGACTGGAATACCTGTGCGATGCTATTTGTTGGGTTGGTCCGGACTGCAGCTGACATCGCTGTCTATCATTGTGCAGGATACCGAAAAGGCGAAGGTCCTTCAATCGATAGCCAGCGTCATACAGGCATTACCTCCTGCTGAGGAAATCACGCCTATAGAGGTGAGCGTGCACAAGGGGCTTTATGTATATATGAATGCGAGCGTTGACTTTCCACGCAAGGCGATCGTGAGCCCCGTTGTGTCGAAGCTTTTCGAAGCGCTCCAGTCTGCAAACCAGGCAAGTGTATTCTCCGGTCAGTGAATCATCGGTTCTTACCACCCTTGCAGCCACCGGACGAGGCACGCGCGACGGCAATTCTACAGCTGGAGACCCTCACCGGTGTGGCGCGAGGACTGACAAGAGTCACAGATTCATTGCTGGCCCTTGACGACTCACCAGACGTGCAGGCCGCGATGGAAGAGATGGCCCGAGCTCGAGCAGACCCGCGAGTGATCAAGCTTCGCGAAGGGATCCTCTCTGCTATACGAAGTGCGGTTGAATTGTGGTCGATAGACGCGACTGTCACCGACGTGAGCATCCTCATGCTACTAACCGTGCGAAGGGTCCATTGACGTCGGCGGCTCTAGGGTCTGAGTGATTTATTCAAGGCCATCACCGCGCTACCCTCCGACCTCACCCTGATTTCCCTCCCCGCTGCTCCCCTTCTTGAACTGGTTTGCCTGGCTGCTCAACGACAGCTCACAGCAGTGTGGCTATCGCTAGCGACGATGCTCATAATTCAGCTCAACCCGCCCTCCCTGGTCCCTACGACGTTCAAGTCGGAGCCAACTTCAGAGGCGTCCGAGGTTGCCTTAAAGGTCCTGACCATCCTGCTGCGAACATCTCTGAGCGCGTTCTCTCAGCCAGGGGTGATGATATCAGTGCGCATTTTCTAAATTTCATACCTCGATCAGTTTTAAATACGATTCCTGCCTGAAGAACCCGGACATTGTACAGGCCTTCTTTGGCTTGATGGAGTCGGTTAGTTGCTCCACACATTCCTGAGGATGTATGATCAGCTCACTCCGGCCTCCCAGTTCGTTCATCACTTCCTGCCGATATTCTATCGCCTTCCCCCAGACTTGTTCAATGCATTGATACAGTGTGCTATAAGTGCGCTATCTTTGCAAGAACGATATTCCCTGACATCTTCCTGCACGTTCTTGGTATGTCCAACCAGTCCCTGTGGTGCTACGAGGATTGATTTCCCTGCAGAGTGTCATCGTCAACCGCACGGCCACTAACGATGAACTCGCGAATGCGAAGACGACATTCGCCGAGATACACGGAATCCCTATCATGCGCGCCGTGTTGTTCGGGTTTGCCGGAGTGGCTCCCCGGTCAGCAATGCCCAATCTCATCGAAGTATTGTCCACCCTGATCACGCGATACCCTACCGAGAGCAAGGTGTGGATGACAAACATCCTCTTCGCTGTAGGTCCAACACGCGCTGCGGCAGACGTTTCCCTCCTGACTTCCCGATATAGGATGATTTCTATCCATGCCGGGCGAACGCGGACGCCAAAAACAAGTTCATCAAGACTGTGTTCGGGTATGTTGCTCAGTAGACCAAGATTATACACCTTGACTGACCCTGTATGTACGACAGATCGCGTTCACTCAAGCGCACCCGAGAAGCTGCACAGCAATTTACACTTGTCGCAAGAGGACTAGAAGGCTCGAGCTTCGGCTACGCAACTGTATCGATGTGAAGCATGGTATCGGTATCGTGACTCACGACTATATCGCTAGCAACAAACGTTCAAACGTCAACATATGTACACATGTAGGCTCCACCGCCCGTAATGCACGCTACGAATCTTCTCTCTCGAGCCTCTGCCTGAGCTTCTCCTTCGGGCGGCGTCGCGATATTGTAGTCGCTCTCGACCGACTCGTCTTACACCGCCCGACGGTCATCTCCATGACGCGCCTTCGACGCTCACGTAGGACGTGCTTCGCGAATCGTTCCGCATCAGTCAAGCCCTCTGAGGCAACGCTGGTCGTGCGGGACATATCAGATCCGACGGACATGGCCGAGCTCTGCGAAGAAGACTTCCGCGTGATGACAGTGGGACGGCGCTTCTTCGTCCGCGTGCGGTATTGGGAACGGTCGCGACCTGCTGGCCTAGTCTTCTTCCTTGCTGGACCTGTTTCTGGGGCCTCTTCTGTCGACGATCTGGAGACACTGGGGATGCGTGGAAGACGCGGTGGATACGAGCTATCGCCAAAGTTTACGGACGTCATAGGATCCCTGGTCGCGACAGACAATACAGAGTCCATGTGCAGGAGTTCTCCTTGTTCACAAGTAGTTGGAAGCGCGGGAGGCAAGGCGCGGGGATAGGCGGTGGACGTGACCGTGGTGAGTGAGCTGCCTTCCTCTGAGTGCCCGAGGATGTGCGCAACCCCTATCCCCTGACTGGTCTCCTCCAGTTTCCGCCCAGTTGCGCTCGACGTTGAGTTCGCATTCCCCAACTGGGAGATGCTTCCGGCGCTCTCGCGGGGTCCACGGATTCCACGATGGCGTTGGCTGGTGCGCCGCTCGGGGGGCCAAGTGAGATTATCCGAGTCGTTGGTTTGGGCTAGGGTCACCTGCGACGCGTTGCCCCCGACAACTGCGCTCAGCGCGTTGAACAAGTTTGAGCGTATCGAGGAGGCCCAGCCTTCCTGCTTCGCTCCGACGTCGGCTGCACAGGGAGTGTTTCCTCCGGGGAAAGGCAACGGGATGTCATCACCGTCTTCAAGCATTTTGCCGTCTTGCCAACCAAGCCCAGATTTCCGAGGTCGCAACGGCTCCCAAGCCATCCGTGGACCATTCATTCTACCTTCGTGAAATTTCGGATGAGGATGCTCCTGAGTCGGGGTATCGAAATCCACGGAAGAGTCATCCCTGATACCCAGTGCGGTGCTTGCACGACTCGTCTCGCCACCGCTCGTGATGTCCCCGGGCATGAGATTGATGATCTTGAGAGCACCGATGTCCTGTGTCATGTCTTGGACGCTCACCGTGCCAGCCGCATGCAACGGGATCGTGACGAACGGGCTTCCGAGGTAAGGGCTCTTGAGGTGTATCTGAGGAGGGGCTGACGGGAGAGGGAGCGCAAGGTTGTTCTGGAGTCCAGTTCCGGGTGACCACGGAAGGTCCTCCTCGATGCTGAACCGCTGCTTCCCCACGTCCGATGCTTCCACCATCCGAGAGGCATTCCAATTTTGCAGCGCGCTGGATTTGCCGCCACCGCCGTTCATAGTGTCCTCCCGCGCGCCGAGTCGGTCGTGGTCCCATGGCCAAGTCGTCATTCGATTCATCGACTGGCGGTGCGTGCGCGAGCGCACGCGGATCCAATATGCGAGTAGCGCGAGCAACAAGGTGACGCCTGCGATAGATCCGAACGCGATGCCCGCGTACAGCCCAGCGTTGTATTTGTTGGTGGGTGGCTCTACAGAGTTGAGCTTTGATGTCGGAGCTGTGCTGTTAGCTGAGCCCTCTAGAGGCGCGGCGGACAATGAGGTCGTGATTGTAGACGAGGATGGAACGAGCGTCGTGGCAGGGATGGACTCGGACGTTATCCCAGCCATCCCAGCCATTGAGGACACACCCGCAGTACTCTGCACTGCTGGTTGGGTGACGGGCAAGCCTGATTGAATTTGCGAATTCGCGGTCACAACGGTGAAAGGTACCGAGATCGTCGTGGATTGGTCTGCTCCAAGTTCCGCCTAGACACCACGGCTCGAATCCACCGCAATTTGGTTGGTGAAAAATTGACGCACCTGTTTGTCGATATTCGGCTGTTGTTGCGTAACAATTGCTGGTCGTGGTGTTTCGAAGACAGGGTTCGAGGGCTGCCCAGGCTCGGACGCGGCTGGAGGCTCTACTATGCCATCTCCAGAAGCAATGACCTGGCCGCCGGGACCAAGGAAAACCCCTCGCGCGTTGGTGGCCTCCGGGTTCATGAAGTAAACCGGAGAGGAACCTAAAGCCCTTCGCCTGTGAACACGGCTGAAGGAGCGAGCGTGTCGATGCATCTTGCCGGAAGACGCGGGGCCAAGAAAATGAGCGGACAGCAGAGGGAGAACCGGTGGGCAACGGGTAACGAGCGAGGTGCACTGCGACCAGAATAGCGATGGATGCGCGAACAGAGGCGAGCCCACTGGGAGTCCTTATAACAGAGGCAGCAAACAGCGCAAGCTGTCGCGACTGAATGTGGCTGACACCCTGACTTACCGGGCCATGCATTTTGATCAAGTCTACAAGGTTCTAAAGAGTCCTACATTTCGTGTCTCTGCATCATGCCACCCTCTATTGACATGGACATTGTGGATCATTGGCCAGATATCCTCACAGAGCGTGTAACTATACTCTCTGTGTGGTTGCGAAGTTGAACCTGCGAAGTAGCGCATTATCACTGCCCTCAAAAGGAAAGCGAAGCGCCCTGTCTACCATATCGTAGAATCGGGCTATCAACAACATTGAACCCTCAAACATTGTGTTCGAGCGGCATGACACTACTAATTATACATTGTGTGAACGAAAGCACGCTAGCGACGAGTATCTACAACAGACAAGGCACGCGGCGACAACGAGCAGCAGATGAAAACATACCGGACAAACAAAGCACATTTCATACGAGTCAACCTCTCCTGCTTGCAATTCAAGGACGAACACGAGCCCGGCGTCACATGAACACACTCGAGCACGGACCGATCCGCAGCGACTTCCATTCCCCCGCACGTCCTCGCCCTGCTTCTCTTCTTCCCCTGCAACTGGATCACCTAAACTCAGACCTACGCCGAGTCCTCCGTGATGATATTCCCGATGCTCAACGGGTTCTTCTTCCCCATGCCCGGTCCACCCATCCTCTCTCCCGCCCCACCCGCGCCTGCGTTTGAGCCAGGGGGAGACGACGCAACCCTCAGCGGCGCCAGCTGGATCCTCCCGAGGCCCCCATTAGAGCTCCCTTGGGCAGCGGCCGCTCCCGGGTACCCGCTATACTCCGGGGCGACGCTCCCATACGCAGGGGCACCCGGCGGCGGGGGAGCGTACCCAGCCCCGCTCCACGACCCCTCACCCGACGAGGGCGCCCCAGCCGCGCCGTTGCCCGGAGGAGGCGGGAGCGGATAGCCGCTGTATCCTTGCGACGTGTGGTGGTGCGAGGGCGGGCTCAGCTGATAGTGCGAGTGCCCGCCATGTGCGGGCGCAGGCGCAGGAGGGGCACTTGCGTGTGGCGAGTGGTGCGTGCGCGACCCTTGCGAGGGCGGCTGCGCGGTCGGGCTGCCGTACGGGTACTGCGGCATCGGGGGTCCCGTGGCGTATCCTCGGGCATACCCAGAGGCGCTCGCGCCCGTGCTTTGAGTGCCGTACTCGCCGCCGTAAGCCGGCTGAGAGGTCGCGGACGGGGGCGAAGGAGGCTGAGGCGCGTACGCAGGATGGTGCGAAGCATGAACGCTGTGGTGAGCGTGACCCTGTGGCGGTGCAGATGCCACCGGCGCGGGCGGAGGGGGGGCAGGTGCGTGGTGATGCGATTGGTGGTGGTGCGGCTCGTAATAGCTCGCGTACCCGCTCTGTTGCTGCGGTTGTTGGCTGGGGGGAGGCGGCGGCGCGTATCCGCTATAGTCATAGCGGGACGCCGCGGTAGGCGGCGGAGGAGGCTGATGATGAGCGGGGGGCGGAGGCGGCGCGTAATGATGCGAGTGATGCCCGTAGGGATCATACGCAGGTGCGGCTGTTGGCGGCGGCCCCCATGTCTGCGCTGGTGCGGGACCAGGCGCCGGCGCAGCGGCTGGTGGACTGTACTGGTACTGCGTGGGAGGCGGTGGGGGCGGATGGTGAGGATGTTGCTGAACTGAGTGAGGGGGAGGTGGGGGAATGGAGTAGTGGTGAGGCTGTTGCCCATAATGGTGGGCAGGAGCGGGAGGGGCGGCATGCGAGTGCGGATCGTAGTGGTAGGGGGGAGCTGGAGCCGGAGCAGAGGGAGGAGGGTAGCGATGGTCGTATGGAGAGGGCGCGGGGTGCGGGGGTGCAGGTGCGTAATGCGAGTGCTCGACTGGCGCAGGAACATGGGGAGGTGCAGAGGCGGCACTCGGGGCAGGAGCGGAAGGATGTTGCGGGGTTAACGCGGGATCGAGCGTGCTCCAACCTACATTCGTGTTGGAAGGGCTTGCTTCGTCGACTCCCGAATCGTCCGGCCTGGACCTCTTCGTCCCTCGCCCTTCCTGGCTTTCTCTCCTGCTGAGACTCCCTGCCGCGCTCGGGCCGGCGACACTCCCGGCGGACTCCCTCCTCTCTCTCTCGCGATCGCGGTCGCGATCTCGATCCCTCTCACGGTCTCTCTCGCGCTGCTCACGCTCGCGCTGTTCCTTCTCCTGCTCGTCCTCGTCCTCGTCGTCCAATGGGACGGGAACTGGGCCGAAAGCACCGTGAGGAATGGGTACCGGTCCCATCGGGATGGGAACAGGGGCATCCATGGTCGGCACCGGTCGCTTCCGCTGGCGGATATCCTTTCGGATGCGGATTTTGATGCCCTGATCGGCGAGCGAGCACGATAGAGGTGTCGATTCTGAAGGCCGCAGATCGCTCAGCGTCCGAGAAGATGGGGAGCGAAGAGGCATTCGTACCTTCCATTCCAGGGAACTTCTTAGCAGTATACACATAGAACGGAGCGGAGAAGATAGACTTGCAATGGTAGACATTGTTGCTGCTCGAGTCAAGGTCAGCCCCGCCTGTAGTTGCGCAACGATATAAATGGCCAGACTCACCCAACCACCTCGTACAGGCTGAGCTTCAGTCGGTAGCTACCTTCCGTCCTCACGCTCAAGTCCGGGAAAACGAAGAACCCGGCGTCGCTGTTCTGGTTCTCGCTATCCTTGAGATGGTATAGCGACGAAACGACGGAACCGGTCGTACACCGAGTCTTGCCGTCCTGAAACAATAGCAGAGGTTAGAAATCCCATGCCGTGCAGTGATAGTGAGCCGTGAAGCAAGAAGCGCGACAGTGAGTGTCCGATCCTGAGCCGCACGGCAGACCCTACAAGTCAGGTACCGGGAATATGGCGCGACATTTCACTGTACGGAATCGAACCGCCAACCTGGCGATCGCGAGGCGTAGCGCGGTCTAGATTGACTGCAGATCCCGAACACGTCTGCGACACATTGGTATTACGTTGCGTCGCTTGTGTGCGTTACTTCCTGTCGATCTTTGGCTGCGACTTATTTTCCGTCTTCCGGTGGAAGCTCGAGGTTCGCTTCACACTGGTTGAGAAAGTAAGTTCAGCCATATGGGGATACGCTATGGTTCGCCTGCTCCGGCAGGCGGTCTCCTTTGGACGAGCGCAACCCCTCGTTCCACTGTCGCAAACAGGAACCGGTATGTAGACGCGCGCATAATGGAGCTGCGCATCCAGCAAGCCGCGTTGCGATCACCTGCGCCTCAGCAGCAAGCTAAGCCACATGCGCGAAACGACGCATATTGCTCCGAAATCTGCCATTGCCGTGCGGCTCGAGGTTCCCTCCGAACAGACATTCTGCAACCGCAGAGCTTACCCGCGGGAGAACCACACGAACAGGACCGCGTGTGAACGCAAAAGAGGGGTATGCCGGACTCACCTTGAGCCAATGCAACTCGACATCTTCGTCCGGTTTCGCCAGGCTCGCGAACATGAAGTAGTACGGATTTTGTAGGAAGCTCTGGGCAGAGGGTGGAGCGGAAGAGTCTGCAACGTGACACGCGTGAGAAAGCAGGTCACTTGGACACAGACGGAGACAGAAAGCAACGAAGGGTCGGGGATTGAGGGGCATACGCGAGATAGCGGTTGGCAGATCTTGGAAAACCGGAACGAGAAGCGGGAGGAGAGCAGGGAAGAACAACGCGCGTCGTCCGCCGACAACGACGTGAAGACTCACCCGGAGAGCTCGCGCGCGAGGAGGAGGATTGAGGGCGACGCGATGAGGGGTCGATCACACGAAGTTGGACGATGGGAGGAGGATCAATAGGTCGGCGATCAGCTGGGGGGCCCATGAAGGGAAGCAGTAAGCGGGGAATGCTGCAGAGAGTTTGGAGAAGTGGACCTTTACCGCCTACACCACACATGCGGGCCTGCTTGGGCTCCTGGCGCATTGTGAGTTCATACTCCCTGGGGTCATGAGCGCGGGCCATCGGGGACATGAGTGAAAGTCGAGACGACCGGTCGGCGTCGTGAGTGGAGGCGGAGGAGGGTGTATAAGAGAGAACGGAGGCCGGAGGGCAGAGATATATGTCAAGGAGAGAAGGGGAGAGTGAGTACAACAGCGGGTACGGGACCATGGACTTGGGATGGGATGTGGGTGGGAAGCGCGAGGGGTGTGATCGGACTCACAGTCTGTCGCGGTCGTACTGCGAGTGCACAGGGAGCTTTGCATGCACAAACTGGTGTTGCTCGTCATCCATGGCGGCGTCGAGGCAGAATACGTCCAGGGCGTTTTGGACGACGAGGAGGGGGGAGGAGGAGACGGACAACGCTGAGAACAACTCAGGCCCCACTCCGATATAGCGGGCCGATCACAAACTCAGCCCAGGCATCGAGATTATCCCTCCTGATAACGTTTTGTTTATCTGATAACAACCACACAATGACAATCATTCTTACTCTCCTTTACCGCCACTTACCTCTGCGTACTTACCGCTATACACACCTCTGCTTATCCATGACGCATGCTCGTGGTTGTTACTAGTACTGCATCATCCGCCCACCAAGAAACACCACGGAAACCCTTGACGCTCGGCGCCTCCCAAGAGGAAGCCCCGTTCCACCGGATCCACCCGCGCGCACCGATACCCACACCAGGTCCATGGTCCTGGGCATGCCATACATTGCCTGCACCCGCACCTGACCGCACTCTGTACGACAACCTCGCGGCAGAAGGGAAACACCGTCGACGCCAACTGCGTGCAATCTTGTACGACAGTGACTCTAACTACCAGTGTCGCGACGGGCCTCGAACTGCAACAGACAGCAATGAAACGCATGATGTACGTCGGCGAGCTCGGACCTACTTAAGAAGGCATATCGAGCGAACCACCTGGGTGCATATTCTGCATGTACAGTTCCTTTCCAGGACTGTGCGAGCAGACGTCATGGTCATCTGCTATGCCGACTCCGAGTCCATGGTCCTGGGTGCTGGTGATCGCCGATGTCTTCGAGTATGTGTTCCCCGCGGCCTTGGACCGTAGTCCTCCAGCGTCGAAAATTGACAACATGACCTGTACTTACTCACCGAGAGTACGCCTCATACCGTCTCTGGTCTTCACCTGCCATGTATCACGCATCGCAAAGTTTGCGATCAGTGTTCAAAATGTGCTGCTGCTCAGCGATGTAACTCCGTGCTGTCGGAGCGGGGCGTGTTAGTCCTCACCCAGGATAGTACCGGGCCGCAAAAGGTATAGATGCCGGCTTGCGGTGTCATTCCCATAATATGTGGGCCGGCATCCCATGGCACGAGCACTGTGGCATTTTCACCGCACTGTCTACGCATCCAGTCCTGTACCACCAGCGATGTCTGGTGCCGCCTGCCCTGACCTCCCACCCGAAACCTCATGCTACTTCCAGAAGGAGGGCTGCATAGTCTTGCGGATAGTCATCCGGAAGGGATGCCGCCGTACTCCGGGTGAAGCACTCGCGCGTTACGATATCTTCCCGTAACAGAGCCGCCCCCCTTACGTTGTCTCTTCGCATTCCTCGCATCTTACAAGAGACACAATCTGTATGGCCGATTTCCAAACCGGACAAGGATCCGTCGTCGTACAACAATTCACCCGAATGCACAGAGTAGGAGAGCCGATGGGTTTCAATGTAGATGCCTGCTCCTCTGTGGTCCGGGACTCTTCAATGGCGTACACGCTCGTGTGGCTCTTGCCAGGGGACACCTGTAGAAAGGAGAAGTATGCAATCGTTAGAGGTCTGCGAAGAACCAGAACCAGCGAAAGACCCTGCACGTACCCAGGATATCGAGTATTTCTCTCTCACTCTCCGACGCAACGAGCACACCTGCAGACGTACACGAGTCAGCCCCTGCAAGCAAATTGCTTCACGCAGCCGAGGCGAAAGAGTTCGCAGCCTGCGGAACGGGGACTACAATGTGTGTGGGATGAAGCAAAGCTAGAGGGGGCAACGCACCTTCCGTAACCTTCTGCCGGTCCTTGTTCCTAATGACGTCCGCGTAAAGCCCGCGCTGATTAAGAGAGTAGCCCATCTTGTTCGCTTTCAGGCGGAGCGAACGATTGAACTGCACGCGGGCGTGGATTAATATGGTTTATCGCGTGGCAGCGAGCCGGCGAATAAGGTGAGGTCACGTTATGGAAAGGAAGAACGTGAGCGGTTCTGGAACAGGACACGTGCAAACGCTATCGGAGTGCAACGGGAGAGACTCACGATATCGTCACCCGTGTAGTAGAGCAGGGCTGCTCCCCTTGAAACCCAAGGTACAGTCAGGAAGTCTTGCGTCGAGTCGGATGTAGTCAGTCTCGGGCCAGTGTGAAGGAAAGGCGAGAAGTAATGGGGGCGTACCGATCCTGCGGCGCAAGCTCCCGGGACCCTTCCGGCACAGCCCCCGATAAACGAGCTCCAGGTCTTCGAAATTGTCAGGCAGGCAGAGATCCTCCGTTATGATATCTTGTCGATGTAGCTCTGCCAGTAATCGGCGTAAGATTCCTGCAGATTTCCGGCAGTTGTGAGTTTGATTGTCGCGAAATAACAGCCACGCGAAAATTACTATGACGTACCTTGATGGGTCTTGCCGTCGTCAACAGGGCGGCTAATGAGTATATCGATGTCACCACAGGTCGACTTGCCCCTAAACGTGCGGTCAGTGTGGCCTGGGGTCGGTATTGAGTGGGCCATACGGACCTGCGGAAGCTACCCATCACTTGTATGAAGAGCTTTGGATCTAACTTCAGCGCTAACAAACATGCAGTTTGAGGCGGACAGAATCACGGAGAGTTCGTTGCTTGAAGTTGCTCACCTTCGCCCTTGATCTTATCGTAGATCTCTTGCACCTCTGCTCTGGGTATCCTTGTATTGATGTCTTTCCGTCGACATCAATACGCCGCCGTTCGAGAGAAAGACGACAACCACGTACCCCTATAATACCTCAATCCAATCTCCTGTGCATGCGATAACTTGACTCCCCCCTTGCGTGCAGCGATATCCTCCAACGTCCTGCAACCGTTGTTGAACAACGTTCGAGCGGTATTGGCGCCTGCGGATAATTCAGTGGTCAACAACTCATCCGCGTTCGCGGTGGCAGGAATAACGAACCGACGCCATAAATCCCTGTGAACTCCTTGACGGCCTTGATGTCCTCGGTCGTCTCGTACTGTATCCGCATCAAGTCTCCTGTCTGGATTATTTCGATGATCTACGACACGCGACATAAAACCTCCGGTGAGCAAGCACGGACCAATCGCAGGCCCGCCAACGCTCACCTTCCTCGCCGTCTTCTCTCCGACCCCATTGAGCTTCATAGCCTCCTCCAACGTCCTGATCCTTGTAGGGCAACGGCGCAATGCCGCGATGGCTAATCACCTGCTCAATACTCAAACACTGTATGTAGGCGCGAATCACGTACCTTTATTTAGCCCATAAACACGCCATCTGTCATCTTCTCCAGGCTTTACATCGTGGAGGGCCTTCAATTCCTCGAGCTGACAGCGTCAGGCGGTAATCAACAAACGACTATACACACCGTTGCCGACACACTAACCTTGTCTATCACATCCTGATTCGGGCAGGTTGCTTGCCGCCGTTTGCCGCCCTTATCGTCGCAGATGAACTTTGTCGGCAAATGAGCATTTGGCCATAGCGAGACGTACAGGATATCGCGGGCGTGTATGTCAGGGCGAAGGTGAAGAATGCCAGGGTGAAGTGAAGGTAAGCAACATGGGTTGTAGCTGGTGTTATGGGAGATAGGACGCACCACCCCCTTCTTGACCGCCTCGCGTTTGCGGTGCCGCGTCCGAGAGATCTGTTTTTTCTCCGGGGTAATCGATTCACTATCGGACTCGTCATGACCGAACATCTGACATGCGCGCGCCGTTAACTGCGATCCACCGCCAATAATGCTTCATGACACAGTCAGCGTACCTCTGCATTCCGCTCGGCCCGTGCCTGAGCATAGAACTCAGCCAGGGGGTCCTCTGCATATCTCATTGCCGGGTCCACCACATGGTTTTCCGCGTGGACGGCTGTATCTTGCCAAGATCCACCGTTTCCTGAAATGGACTGGACTGCCTGAACAACCTTCCCCGCGACTTTGGTATAGTGCGGTAGAAGTGTGCCCAAAGAAGGGTAGCTGGGCGAGGATGGCGGCGATGGAAGACCCGCATATGGCATGATCTGCACCCCGTCACCCGGCAACACCTTATCCTGAGTGAAGTCTCTGAAAACATGGGCGTCAGAGAGAGCCTGAAACACAAGAACGACCGAGAGCCAACTCCGACAATGATAGTGACGCACGAGATATGGCTGCTGTCGTCGACGACGTCGCTGGTGGGAAATACATCCGTGCTCCGGCCGCCGTTGACTCCGGACGGACCCTCGACCGTCGAAAGGTTCTTCCGACCTGCCATATACTCGCCCCAGGGCGTCTCTCCGGCATCGATACGCTCGCTGTATGCGGCATATTCGAACAACCAGCCCATCTTATATACTAGCGGGTCGTCTTCATCTGCCACATCGATGCGGTCCTTGCGGCTGTTTCTGTCTGGGGCCTTCTCCTTGCCGCTGAGCGTCGAGGCTCTTACGCGAGGTGCCGAGAATCCAGTCTGGATCCAATCCCATGTGACGGTCGGAATCCGTTGCGGAATATCTTTCAATCTCCTTAATCCGATCACCTTTAGTAACGCCTTGGCGCCCGTGTTCTTGCTCACAACGATATGCGTGATTTGGTCGGGATCGTAGTCGGGTATCAAGGTCCCTCCGTGCTTGATGATCTGTTGGCAGAGCTGCGTCAGAGACATTCCTTGAGGTCATGGAGATCTGTGAGCTCACGATATCCATCCTACGCTGGGTATCTTCGCCGGCGTAATTCAAGTCTGCGCCGTAATAAAATATGCGCTTGCCTTCCAAGAATTGCTTCGCGGCCGGCATCCTTCCGTTCAATCGCCGTTCCTCGGCTTCTGCGTTCTTCATCTTCGCATACTCAGATGCAGTGATGAGCTCTCTCCTCTTTCCCTTTCCCTTCGGCTTCTGCGCCGAAGTCGCCCCACGCTTCGCCGTCGCCTGCTTCGCCACCACCGTCACCTTCCCCTTCTTCTCCACGGCACCCTTCGCCGTGGACGGATTCGCAACGCCAGGGGCCGTACTTGTCGGACTTGTAATATTGCTGCTGTCCGCAATAGGTGCGTGGTGTTTGACCCCCTGAGGGACCTCGAACGGTTTCGTCCGAGCGGTACGCTTGCTAGCAGTCGGATCCTGGGGGACCCTCACCCTCGACCCACTTGCCTCCGTACGAGCTTCGGATGAGCCAAGGGCGCGAGCGGAACTCATTCTCGTCTCGTTCACGGCTGTCAGATCCCGGCCTCTCTCGGACCTCATAACGCGACTAGAGACCTCCAAGCCTCCCTCCCCTATGTCCGCGGACGACATTAGGGGCCTCACGCGTGCTGGCGCCCCCGAAGCCTCTTTAGGCGCGTGCTTGGAAGGCAGCGCCCGAGGTTCAGTCGCAGCGAGAGCGGCCTGAGGGGCAGCCATCAGCGCGTCCTGCGCGTGCGTCGGTATGCCGAGTTCCCGATCCACGGAGACCGCGCCAGAGGGCCTGCGCGGGGTGTCAGGCAATTATGCAAGGTTCGACGCGATAGGCTCACCCTGGCCTCTGGGCGACCGCGTGTCGGTCAGGTGCCGCAGGACGGCTCCGACCAGAAGCTGGGGGTTCTGGTGCCCCCTTTGGCCTCTTCTCCGGCCTCTGGTCCAAGAAATCACCGGGGGTGTCTGGCTTGCGCTTGCTGCTTGTGCGGGCGTCGCGAGAGACATCGCGAGGCCGTTCTGCAGCGGGAGGGTCTTGTGGCTGAAGGCGTACGCCTGCGTCTTGTGCAGTGTGGCGGGCAGGGCTCGATGTGGCTTCCTTAGGTATAGCGTGTGCGGGTTCACACTCAGGCGTCAGGTTCCGGCCTGCGACAATCAACTGAGGGTGGGTGGTATAGCTGGGGCTGGAGCTGGTGCGGCTGTAGAACGAACATCAGCATTAGCTGGACATCGACATCACGAACATTCAATCCCGCCAGGTCCACGACACGCTTTCATCAGTACACCCCAGAGAGGCTAGCACCCGGCGTGATGAAGTCCTCTACCACACTACTAAGATATCCGGCGTACCGCGGTACCACTTCGTGCGACTCCCGGGGCCAGGGCCTACGTATATGCAGTGGTTATGCGAGACGTACCTCTGCCTGCGCGCCAGATAGTGGCCGAATTCTTCTTGCGGACGACTCATGATCTCATCTTGTCCAGCCAGGAACAGTTCATCCTCGTTCATCATGTCGCGAATTGTGGATAGGGGGCAGGCAGCTCGTGGTCCAGAGGCAAGATCATCGGCGGGCCCGTAATGGCAAATGCCGACCCTGCAGAGAAGCGCCCAGATGGTGGCTTCAAGGCGCCGTCTGGTCGGCTCTGCTCAGTCGACATAACCGCGACCGGCTTTGACATCTTCGAGACGCTCTTCGACTCTGAGTGTCCTACCTTGCACTCCGGAAGTTGCTGTAGAGGTGTAGAGTGCCGATATTGGCCGTGAGCGAGAGATGCGTTCTTCTGAGCGTACCCTCTCCTACATGCGTTCGGACGGTGCCTGCCCTCGGCGAGCTGACGGGGTCCCTGCGAGCACGATTCTCTGGGTTTGAACGATAAGTAGCACCTTGAAGTCAGCGCCACGGTACCTTGCCTGGGCTGTCAATGAGACATATGCCTGCCGAAGTCGCCCTTGAGTCAGTGCTGGCATATGTAACTGACGTGCACGCAGGCGAACACGCTGATCGTAGTTCACAGGATAAGTTGGTCCGAATAGGTACTACATGTGCCCAAACTAGCCACTGAAGTCAGAATATCGCGATGTCCGTCATTACAAATAGCAGACGCCTTCGCGCCTACGCAGTATGTGAGTTGTATCGACACGTTAAGTAATGTTGACGTAGGGACGGTATCACGCTGGCTACTATGTACTCCATCCGCCACTTCAGCGCGACATGGGAGCGTACTATCACAATGCTCAGCATGGTGCTCATATTACCGGACAGAAAGGTCCAGGAAAGATTGTCCTTGGTGGTTGGATCCCTCATTCAAGTATCGATGCCGTTTTCTTCACCATGTCACCATAGGTCCTCTATGACTGCAGGCTAAATCACGGCGCCGGCTCCAGGAGAGTTCGCTTACCTTGCTTACTGCTGACGGTCGTCGTTGAATCTGGCCCTTGCGCGTTCAGTCTGTAGTAGCCTGCGGCGCGCTTAGCTCCTACATGGTTTGCGGGTCCACATTCATGCTTCAGCCTGACTCCGGCCCTCTTTTTCCTGCGAAGATCAACTCGTGTCGTGGCTGATGGTCGCTACTGTCCCGTCATCGCTTACCGCCCTCTGTCAGCTCACAAGCGGCAGGGATGACCCAGAGTTCACTCGTCGCATATCTCCTCTGTGGACCGCGCGCGCTTTGAGTATGTATGGTTACACGTGTATCGCCGTATGGCACCCTGTTCCATTCCGTTCCCATCAAAGCCCGCGCCTCGAGAGGCACGCATCGCAACACCGTTCTTCTGGACCGCTGGCCAGAACGCAGGTCTCGGCAGGCGGGTGCTCCGAGCCAATCGTGTCGAAACGTTCCCAGGGCGCGTACGAAGGGCACACCTAAAAGTGTACTGTGTCGGAGCAGCACAGCGAGAATGGGGCGGAGTTGAACGGCACTGCGTACGGGTTGCCTGAGTGGGACCGGCCTCGCGCTCGCCTTTAGGATTGCAAGGGCCTTACCGGTCGACGTCCTTCTTCCGCGAGACGGGTGAGCGCTGCGTATTGAGATCGAATGATGATGAATCGTGTCTGAGACGGACGGACGACGGTCTCTGGACGCGATGAGCTGAGATAGGAATGGCGGGTTGACGGCGGTTGTTGGCAGGCGCGGCGAGGAGGGTGATACCGTCTTCGCGGGGTTTCCGTGCTTGCCGAGAGGACGTGGGGAGGGATAACGCAGGATTGATTCCGTCATCAGGTGCATTTGCTTCCGCGCGCAGGGAGTGGGGGCAGTATCAGCGGCATCATCTGATGGTACCATCTCTGCGTCGCCTGGGCACTAAGCTGCACTAAGTAAAGGCCACTAGTGTGCTTTGGACCGTTTGTGGCTCCGACGCAGGCCCTGTTCCTTCTTCTCGATCCGGAAGGCTCCTGCTGGGCTTTGTACTTACATAGCACCAGCCAGCCGACGGCCTATCTGGGCATTCAGCACATCCCAACAGCAGCCGCAGAGGGTCGTCCACCTCGGACCGCCCACAGCCCCTGCGTCTTGTCGATCCCAACGGTGCCTCACATCCCATCGCCGGATCCCTCGCGCCTTTTCGAACGGCAGCCCACGCGTGCCCGCTCCTGCGTTCCCCGTCCTGCACTCCGCCGCTGAGTTATCGTCGCTGTTGGGGCGGTGTCGGAGTTGCATTGGGGCCAGCTATATGACCCGTCGTCTCACGGCATCAACACACCTCAGACTGTTTTTTCGCTCGTCTTTCTGCCTCTCGGTCTCCGTTTGACCCATGGCCGTCCAGTACTCCCGCCGTCCCCCGTCTTCGTCCTTCGACAGCGACTCTCACGACATGAACAGAGCTCCCGGGAACTACCGCGAGCGCGAGCCCCCGTCCGACGACGACGACGACGCGGCGTCGGACATGTCTGAGGACCTCGTCGAGATCCCCAGCGAGGACATACCCGACTACTTTCAAGAGCGGGGCGGACGACTCTTCCATTCTCATGGTGCCTCCCCGTATCCGTTGCCCGTGGATGCGGAGGAGCAACAAGTGAGTCGCGCACGGAACGCCCTCCTCCGTGTCCCGCCTGTCTCTCGACGTGCGGCCCTGGCTGCGGCTGATGCTGGAATTGCACAGAGACAAAACGGGCTCAATACACTCCTTCGCAGGCTGATCGGAGATTTCTCTGTTGGGCCGGTGGGGGAGGTGCTGGCGGATGCACTCGGCGAGCAGAGGCGCGTCTTGGATCTCGGGACGGGGACAGGGCAGTGGTACGTCATGCATCGTGGTCGCGAACGAGCTCTCTTCTTCATTGACTGCCGTATTAATAGGGTCCTTGATATGGCACGCGACTTCCCGCGCGCGAGGTTTTACGGCGTCGACATAGGTTCGCTCCTCGTCCCTGCCGTAGTCCTCTCTGACAGACCCCCGCCAGTGCCCATCGCGACCCGCTACCCGCCGCACAACGTCCAGTTCGAGATGCACGACATCAAGGAGGCCTTCCGCTTCGACTCCGCCAGCATCGACTTCGTCCACGCGCGCATGATCAGCATGGCGGTACGCTCTTTCCCATCATCCCCTGCGGTCGCACCCTGGGCTTACCCCCGTGCTTCCTGCCAGATCCGTGACTACGGCGCCCTTCTCCCGGAGATAGCGCGCGTCTTGCGCCGTGGCGGCCTCTTCGTCTCCAGCGAGTGGGGTCGCCGCCCCGTCATGGTCGACGGCAGCGACCTCGCCGTCCGCGCGCCCCAAACCTCCGCGTTTTTCACCGCCGTGCGCGAGACCCTCCGCGAGCGTCGCGGCATCCACACCGTCGCCCCGGGCATCCCGCGGCTGCTCGAGGACTCGGGCTGCTTCGTGAACATCGTGCCCCGCCGCTACTACATGCCCATCGGCGATTGGCACACCGACCTGGAGCTGCGCGAGCTGGGCCGCGAGTACCGCGAGATGGTCGAGCTCTACGCACGGTCGATGCGCGCGGTCCTCATCGAGGGTCGCTGGGCCGCCGACGCGGACGCCCTCATCGAGGGTTACATTCAAGAGACCTGGAGGGTCCGCGGGATGGTTTCTGTCTACTATACTGTGCACGCCCGCCGCGTCTAGGGGTGGTCGTGATTCGCTGTCGCTACTACATACACGCTGTTTTCACTGTTTCCTGTCGCTGTCGCTTTCGTGTTTCTGTTTTGCACCATGCTTTCTTGTCGTTGTTTTCTGATGTATGCCCCTGTATGCCCTCTATGAATATATGCCGTTTGCACATGCATATCGACGTTCGAACCCGCGCGAGGTTAGCGAGGGAGGTTAGCGACGCAGTGCCCACGAGCGCGGCGCCCGAGGACCGCGCGTCTATTGGCTGCCTCGGCACAACCCGGAACTGGCCGGGGCGCCTGAATCTACGCTGGTGTCCGCCGTCGTCGTCCTCTTCCTCCATACCCTCTATTCTTCACTCATTCTCGATGCTGGCAGCCAGAGCGTCGGCCGCGCGCAGTGCGTCGCGTATCGCCCGCAGCGCACGCAAGTTTGCTACCGTCGTTGACAGCGCTGGCGTGAAGGTCGCCGCCGCCGACAACGGCGAGCCCACTACTGCTGTCACTTTCCTCGTCAAGGCTGGCAGCAGGTACGAGCCCAAGCCCGGCGTCGCACATGCCCTCAAAAACTACGCGTTCAAGGTGCGTGTACATGGGACGGACAGCGAAAACAGGCGGAGGAATGACGGGTTTGTGTTTCCTGCGGTGATTCACGGAACAGAGCACGGAGAAGCGTTCGACGTTGGGCACCGTCCGCGAGGCCGAGCTGTACGGCGGTGTCCTCTCGTCAAGTCTCTCTAGGGAGCACTTGGCGGTCACGGCGGAGTTCCTGCGCGGCGACGAGTGAGTGCACAATTTCTGCCATGTCATATGACTCTCGTGCCGACCCGCTCCATCCGCCTACCTTCCCCCACTCGACAATGCGTGCGACAGGGCATTCTTCGTCGACGTGCTTTCCTCCTTCCTGACCTCGGCCAAGTTCACCCGGTACGAGCTCCAAGAGTGGGTCGCGCCCACCGTAGAGGCCGAGAGCACCGCCGCCCTCTCTGACCCCGCGACGCGCGCCGTCGAGCTCGCACACGCCCTCGCCTTCCGCTCCGGCCTCGGCAACTCCATCTTCGCCACCCCCGGCCACCACGTCACCGCCGAGGACGTCCAGGCGTACGCCCACGCCGTCTTCGGCCAGGGCAACGTCGCCGTCCTCGGCACCGGGATCGACCCCAGCGCGCTCGAGAAGCTCCTTGCGCAGTCCCTCGGCAAGTCCTTCGCCGCTGCGTCCGCCCCCGCCTCGAAGCCGTCGAGCTACTTTGGGGGCGAGTCCCGCCTCGACGCGCACGAGGGCGCGCAGACGGTCTTCGTCGGGTTCGGCGCCGCGGGCGCACCCTCCGCCGAGCTCGCCGTCCTCGCCGCGCACCTCGACCCCACCCCGTCCGTGAAGTGGTCGCAGGGCACGTCGCCCATCGCACCGAAGATCCCCGCGGGCGCCTCCGTGCGCTCCGTGCTCCTGCCCTACTCGGACGCGTCGCTGTTTGGTCTCCTAGTCCAGGGCCAGACCGCGGCGGACGTCAAGACCGCCGGTCAGGCGGCCGTCGAGGCCCTCAAGGCTGCGAGCTCGCTAAGCGGCGAGGATCTCCAGAAGGCCGTGGCGAAGGCGAAATTTGCGGCTGCATCTGCGTATGAGTCCCGGGAGGGCCTCGTCGCTGCCCTCGCTCCTAAGGTGAGCCCCTCGTCGTGCTGCCTTGCAGGGGGTGCGTCCGTGCTCACGCCTCCTGTACGCTCACAGATCCTGTCTGGCTCTTCTTCTTCCGCGGCCGAGGCCGTCGCGTCGCTCGAGAAGGTCGACGCTTCTGCGTATTCCAAGGTGCGTCCTCGCGTTTCGGCTTCGTCGCCTTCCCCTGCCGTAACGTTCCTGATGCCATGTCCCCCTTTGCGCGTGATAGGCTGCTGCGTCCCTGCTCAAGAGCAAGCCAACGTTTGTCGCGGTCGGCGACGTCGCGTCTCTCCCTTACGCGGACGAGCTGGGCCTCTGAGCTGTCATTCCCTCCCGAGTCGCGCAAAAATAGACTACAGCTATATTGTCCAATGAATTCTCTCTTACAGGGACCCTTGGGCCGTGTCGCATCCAGACGGTGCGGTACCGAGCTCGACTGCAGCCAGCCCGCGCGTTTCTGAACCTTGGGCATGGTTCGTGATAGCCGGGGCTGGTCGAGATCTCCAGCAGCCCGGAGTGGTCCTGCCAATCAGTGAGCTTTTCTTGGCCTCGTCTCTCCGCGTTCGTTCGCCGCTGGCTGTTCTGTTCTGTGCGGTGCGGTGCGGTTCTTCGATAGGGTTCGCGGTGCGCTCGCTTCTCCATCGTGGCGTTTGACTTCAGCCTTTTTAGATGGGCGACGACGCTTCCTTTCATCTCAGCCTGCATCTTCGCGGTCGCGCTTCCAGCGCAGCGAGGGAGGCGTGGACGCGGACGTCTGCCTGCCGAGCCGGTCACGTACGCCCGTGCATGTGAGGTGACCAAGGGCGAACCTTGCCGTTTCAGAAAGAAAACCTACTTCAGGAGGTATATATTCCATTGTGGGCGCCAATTTTTATTCCGGTGTACAGAACGTCTCATCCGGATTGTGACTCGGAATGCGACGTCTGCAGTCCTTTCCTGTCGCGCTTTGATTTGGTTAGGGCCGCCTCGACGTTCTCTGTCTGCAGGAGTATGTCAGTGTCGAGACTGGCGTGGCCGACGTCCCCGGGCTGGGATTGCGTTCCAGCCTGGGGGTGCCATAGAGGCTGCCTTTGGCTGACGGTAGTTCGTATTGAGATCCCTATTCACCATGAGTTGGGCATGTCGTTGTGCTGCCTGCTTTTCATCATCCCTTTACTCAGCTCTGCTTGCGCGGCGGTCGACACTCCAGCCGCCTACTGAAGGCTCGTAGCCCGGGTCTCCCGACATCCGTTTATCTCCAGTCGCGCTCTGTTCGAGCGTGGCCTCACACGCTCCTTCACCCCTTCACTCCTTTTATATTCCAGCCACCGTGCTTTCGACATGGTCACCCCCGGACCGAAGGCGGCAGCCCCGGCTACGCCCAAGTACTTCCAGCTCGTCATCTTCGTCATCTTCGTCTTTGGGGTCTTCGTGTTCCTCGCATGCACCGCTGCGATCCTCGGGTACCGCGAAAAGCTGCGTTCTGGGGGCTCCGTCGCCCTCGCGGACAGCCCAATTGCTACGCACGTCAGCGCTTGCGATCTGGAGAAATGCATCGACGTCGCCGCGCCCTCTAGGGAGAAGGCGAGGACGAGGCGGGGGCGGTCCGGTTGGCTGCCTGCGTGGTTCTCGAGCGGGAGCAGTGACGCGGGGGACGATGGCGACTCGGACTCCGTGCTCGCGCTGCTGCCGGGACGTCGGGACAGGGTGTCGGTTTGGGGGAAAGTCTTGAACCTCCTCACGAAGAGGAATAGGCGCGTCCTTGTGAGTTCCTATATCTTGATCTTCACGGCATCGTGCGCTCATGGATGCCAAAGTTGCAGCCGGACCCACCGACGATCAGGAAGATCAGCAGAGTCCTCGACGCAGTCGAGACTAGAGAGCGTGCGGCAGCTACAACGTCGCGCGCCGACGGCATCGCGGAGAGCTTCGACAACCCTCCCGTCCCTCCTCCGAAGCCCTCGTGCACGTTCGCGCCCCCTCTGCGCAAGCTGCAGATTCCCGAAATCGTCGTCGAGTGCTGCGACCCAGACCCCGAGCGCGCGTTCTTCAGCGACTCCCCCGACAACTCCTTCGCGACCACCGCCTCCACCTCGTATTCCCGCACCAGCACCCCAAGTCTCAGTCTCTGCGCGTTCACGGCGGGATCCAGCTCGAGCTCGAGCCTCGTCCTCAGCCCCACACAAGCGTCCCCCGCGGAGTTCTACTTCCCCAGCTTCCCCCGCACCAGCATCTCGTCGCTCGACCTCCTCAGCGTCCCCCCGCCTTCGTCCTGTGGGGGCTCCGCGGAGCAGGCCGCGGCGAGTGCGACGAGAGTGTCGAAGACGTCTGGGGCGCGCAGAGGACTCGCTCTTGCGCCGCCGCCGCGGGGTTCCGCGGGACGCGCGCCTGCACCCACATCTTCGTCTTCGCTGTCGTCGTACGTGACGTCGACGCCGGCGAAAGGGGGGCGGAAGATGCGGAGCCGGGGCACCACGCGCCCCGAGGTCGACGTCCATGCCAAGCCTGACCTGGCCATCGCCGTGGAGGTGTCTTCCGCGGGCATCGCTGGGAAGAGGAAGGCTGTCGCTGTCCCGGGCAGGCCGGGCAATGTGGACGACGGTGGGACTAAAGAACACGGCAGGAACAAGAGCAAGAGCAAGATTGAAGACAAACGACATCCGTCGGACAAGCGCCCGAGGTTCACGTCGGCCTCGAGTGCACCTATCCTTCCCATACGGCTCCCGGTGTCGTCCAGCACGACCTCGAGCCTCATGGACCTCATTCTCGACGCTATCGCCGCGGACACGGACGAGTCCTTCCACTACACATCTGTCGAAAGTTCTGGGCTCAGCTCATCATCGTCTGCCTCCCTGACTTCCGCCCATTCTTTCTTGGGGGACATAAGGCCTATTACGAAGATGGCGCCGTACGGCTCCTTCCTGTTGCTCGAGGACGGGGATTGTGAGAGCGAGGAGGACCTGCTGGACGCGATCCTGAGCGCGTACATCCGGACCGACGACAACTTGAAGCGCGAGAGCGACGACGGCACCTTCACGTCGGAGGATCCGGAGTCGGCGGGCTCGGACTATAGCGACTTCGACGAGATCAGCTTGCACAACATCCCGGAGTGCGACCCAGCTCGCGACCGAGAGGACGTCAAGGTGGTGGACGTGCGCTTTGGGGGGACATTTGGCGAGGCGATCCGGTACCGGGTCTTGCACGGGCTTGCGATATGACTGCTGCGGCCTGTCCCGGGATGCCTTTTCAATGAGCACTCTGACTGTTTTGCATGTTATGAGCTCATCGCCGATCCTGGCCAGCGGGTCAACCTGGTTGATTAACGTCATTGATCTTTCGTTCACGCGTGCCAAGCCATTTCCCTCCGTATCCTCCCTGGGCTTATTACGACCTTGCCCTGCACATTGAACCCAATCAGAAGTTGAGAATCGTAAATAGAGGATCGTTCTATGAGGAAATTCGAACTACATAACGAAAGCCGGAAGGGCAAACCTGAGAGCCTTTCCACTGCTGCTCTTCCTTCGTGACGCCAAGACGGGTGTTTGGCTGACCGGTGTCGCCCTTTCGGCGTTTGACTGGTGGAAAACCCTGAGAGTCCGCCCGAGAGTCAAATCCATTCGGCCTAGTAGTAACCAGTCCAGCCTTTTTGAAGAGGTCCTCGGAGGTGATATGCGATGACGCCGTCAATCCCGGTCACTTTCTCCATGGCGCAGTAGCCACGGGTGCAGCGCGAATACAAGGAAGAGGAGGCAAATGTAGGCTTGCTGACGTAGAGTGTCCGACCCTGGAACGTGAGCTCGTGCGTGGGCCACTCCTCGGATGTCTTGTTCATCGCACCTGGGGCCTGCTTGCGGAGATACGTCGACCGTAGGCTGGAGGCCCAGCCCCTAAGTTCGGCGACGATGTAGTCCTTGGCGATGTCCGCGGTGCTGTCGAACCCCAGCTCCTCACGCGTCATCCTCGCGAGTCGGTGAAAGAAGCGTTAGACGGTGGGGTTGTCTCGTTTTCCGTAGGGGAACGGTCCGGTGACGACGCCTCCTGAGCGATCGAAGAGACAGATCCGTGCTGGCTTGCGATAGACGTAGAGGACATACAAGTGTGTTTGATGCTGATGAGCGAACGTCTTCGCGACGTAGTCTTCAAGCTTCCTGGGGGCCTTCTCGCCACCGCTGAACTCCCACGGGTGAATGGCTTCGAGTTAGTCTGCTCTTTGAATTCGAAAGCCGATCCATCGTGGTCATACTTGACGTCTACGAAGACCATGATGTCCCCCCAGCATCGTCGCCCGATCCAAGGCTTCTTGTCCTTCTCGCTTAGTGTGCTCTTCATGAAATCCTCGGCAGGGACGGAGAGCAGGTCCCTCGTGCGGTTGTTGTTCACGTAAATAGCGCAGTATTGACGCGCTGTGTTCTTCTCGTTGAACATGTTCTGGGAAGAGATGTCGCAAATGACTAGCGGGGTGGCCGCCCTGTCGAAGTCCATGGCAGACTGAGCAAGCGTGCACGATATTCGGTCGCCGTTGTCCAAGCTCAAAGTATCGCGACGCACGATGACGGGGTTCAAACTGGTTTCTTGCCCCCCCCCCCCTTGCGGTCGCCGAGCGATTCAGGGGCTCGTCGGGCTTGTCGGAATCAGATGACTCCGAGTTTGGATCAGACGACTCTGAGTCCGAATTGAAGAATTCCGAGTCCGAATCTTGGACCGCAGCGGGGACAGCTGGGTTCTGGGCATTGACGGGAGGCTCCTGCGCCGTAGTAGACGTGTCAGGCTCATCATAGACAAAGCGCTGGAGCTCGTCGTCGCGAGGGTCCTGTCCACCTATAAACGACTCAAAGATCTTCTCCACGGGGACTGCTATCATGTGTTCTTCCATTTCTGCGTCTTAGGTGTGCAGCGGACTACCGTGTTCCGGTGGTTTGCAGTGTGCGTTACGCGACGAGTCGATGCCTGGCCTTTCCGGTGTGGCGTCCGAATCGGAGAAGGTTCGATGCAGTGCGCCATAATCCGCAGCCGTTTGAGTGCAAGGGGGATCAGGCGACAGGTGATTCGATGAATCGTCGCCTACATTATGGTCGACGGGGACAGATGGTAGTGGTGCGTCAGGCTGATCGTGGTAGGGCATGCAAGGCGCCAAAGGCTGCTTACAGGAATTGGAACATATGCGCTTCAGCGCTTGATATGGCCACTGTGAGGCTTCGCCGACTCGAAGGCGTTTTGGATGTCTTGGTCCGACCGTACAGGCAATTAGTAGTAGTCTGTGTGCGCCCTCGCCATGGGCATAAATTAAATCAATAGGACAGGAACGATTTATCAACCTTCTCAACTCTCAAGTGCTGGAGTCGTGTCCCGTAGCGGGTTTGTTGTGACTCGGAGAAGTTGTAGCGCCCAAGCTGGTTGAACTTCTGGGCGTCTGATACACGCTTCCGGATGTGGGTATGTAAAGGCACGCTGTCGAACTTGCACATCCGATGTACATCAGAGCAAGCGGTCATTGCCAGTCATTGCCCCCCACCTCAAGGCGATACCTCGTACGAGGATTGCGCAGGTGGCAGTGGGACGCACTCTTGGCGCAGCAATGGACAGCTGAGATCGGACATCTTGGTGGTGACTGCGCCGGTGTGCCACCTTAGCAACGACTCGGACTCGGACTCGCCACATCGAGAACGAGAGGTAGAAGAGGTGAGCACTTTGTTCCTCGTCAAGTCGCAACACATAATGAGCAACGTGTAGTGGCAGAATAGATGACACGATACAGATACAGCCTGCTCAGGCGAGAGTCTCGGTCACACGGGCTGACAAGCCGTTCATAAACGCTTTACGCTCTGGTTTCAGCACGTCTATTAGCAGAAGATAGGCTATCAGCGACGACGTGAACCCATTCGAATTCCCCATCTTTATCCATCGTCATAACTTCCTCTCAAATGCGTGCATTCATTGCTGACTACGCCAACTTGTATGTTACGGTTCCACATATCCCGATCTAGACCTGGGGACACTGAGTCCTCCTAGCCTTGCTCAGAAAAACTTCTTGATTGCGGGATCAGGTATGCTGACCCGGTCGTGGGCTATAGTAGCGAACGCTGAATCCCGACTTGGTTCTCCTGTAAGCCGTCTTTCTATATGATACAATACTCACCACAGGAGAGGAAGTACGATGTTTCTGGGGCCGGAAAGTGACCGGGGCCGCCATTCTGTTCTGGCTAAACAAGTACATGACTATGCTTTACTTGGTATGGAATCTCGGGAACTTGTTGGACCTACCAAACAATGTATGTGTGGTCCTTTCAGCAAGCCTCGGTGGGACACAAACTAATTTGGCGACTCCACCGTTAGAGGTGAGCCGAATCGCAACACATTTCCTCAGCACGAATATACCTACAACAGCCGATGCCTTTTAAGCTGTACACTCTCGGTCAAAGGAGCTGCTGTGGTGCATAATACATTCTTCTTGATTCTAGCATGTAAGTTTTCCCATCGCTTCTTCGAAGTGTACAGGGATATCGGTACTGATATATTTGTAGCTTTTTCAGCCATACGCGTGTATGCTCTTCAGAGAAACATCTTTCTATCCTTCATCACCTTCGTGCTGTCCATGACACCCTTTGGGGTCAATCTCGTAATATTGCTTCGCAGTGCAAGCATTACCGCCCATTGATATCTGTTTGGCCGACAGGTCCAGTTTGGGTTTGGATTGTCTGGCAAGAACATTCCTCCCTTTGGTTGTGCACCTGTTGGGTATGAATCCTCGGGTCTAGACAAAAAGTTAGTGGATGCTGATATAGTTTGGACCGAAATCCGTTACTGACTCTCTTGGGTTATTGCTTTAGACGTAAAGCATATGCGTAAATCAACCCGACTTTACCGTTATTCTGATGTATGGCCATGCTAGTGACTGTCTTGTCCCGGTCATGTTTGATCGCTGCCGACTGCCTTGCTGCCGGCGTTACCTGGTTCACACTTGCCCGACCGCGCGATATCCACTTCATCGGAGTGCTGAAGAGCTCTCTTACCCGCGTGCTCTTGATTGATGGTAAGCACTCCTGTTTATCAACCCGTCCATTTTAATGGGGCTGATAAATCTGTACCTAGGCACTGTGTATTTCCTGTAAGTTGGAACATGGGCCATCAAATACATCACGCCTTGCTAGTCCCTTCTGACCCATGTAGCACTCTAGGCCTCGTGAACTCTTTGCATCTAACGTTCGCACTTCTTGCGGTATATCCAGACTTTACGTCATCCATATAGTATTTTTACCTCGAGTTGGCAGCTAGACGTCATCACCTTGAAAGGCACCAGCATCTTAGAGAACTTCACGATCCCGTATGTCTGCATCCGTTTTCCCCAGCATATGGGCACTGACACGTTGTAAACACCTCCGGAATGTAGGTTGACCGCTGTCCTGGTCTCCCGTTTCCTCCTCCACCTACAATCAGCGAGCCTGAGGACCGTTGGTTCCATACACTCGTCTCAGATGTCCACAATGAATCTCGACCGCTCTGCATTGTATGAGCGAGTGGTCGGATCACTTGGAACTCGCATCACAGCTGACGATTTTGGAGAAGAGGAGGGCGACTTCGACACCACTTCGGGAAACATTGATAGCCCAGATCAAGCAGACGAAGCCACTGAGGTGCAGAGGGATTAGCGACTCAGATACATTGAGGGCAGCCAGAGAGACCAGTGTGCTGCAGGGGATTTCGTCGTATGCCACATCTCCGTTTGGTATAACTACATGCACGTTAATAACACCATATCGTAACTCACATGTCCGTCGCGCAGTACGCTCGTGCTTCACGCCTGGGAACGACGAATGGGAAATCATAGCAGCCTGTCGATAGGATGCCCGGGCCACATAGGGTTTACCAGATCCTACACTGTATTGCATCGCCTGCATCTCCGACAGCCTGCCTGGTATTATTAGTCGCAGCCAACTGTTCTCCCATGGATGCAATGTCCGCCGTAAACCGTAGTACCAATACCAAGGTATTATCAAAAGCAATGGGTCTGCATAGCAAAGAAAGGCCGAGGTATTCGATGCTCACTCTAGGCCGCACCATGCGGGCTGTGCGGAACGAATATTTCCGCTAAAAATCATCACGCCGGTCAGCGTACAAACGTGAGGCATCTACCCGTGTTTTGGACACTCACCGTTCTCCGAGTACCAATCAGCCTTGGGGCTGTACACGAACCGCAGCAAGCCAGCTTCTCGGATTCGGCGGAGCATGCCCTTGTGAAGGGTGACCTCTGGCTGCATGCCCCACGCCGAGTTGTCCGCCACGATTTCCAGCGTGACGCTCTCGAGACGAGCAAAATTCCCGGCAGGAGCGGAGAGCAGCTTGTCGAGGCTGTCGAAGTCCAGAGACCGCGCGGGGGAGCGCGGGTCGTCCAATGCCAGAAATTCGACAGGCATCCTCGTCCACACACGAATCCCGATCGCGCGGAGAGGTGGGGGGGAGCGCTGCGCGCTGATCGGCGCGAGGATGGGCGAGAAGAAGGCCGTTCGTGAGGTGCGGACGCCGCCGTTGTCCTTGATGCCGATGGAGAGGTACTCGAGCGCGCGACATTTTGCGAGCGCGGACCCGAGGCCGGCGAACGTTTGACCTGTCGTGTAAGGGAAGGTAAAAAATTAACACTTGTATCAGGGCTGTACGCGCGCATGTGACCCTGCCGCTCACCCTGAAGATCCCACAGCTTGAACGGGTTGACGTCGACGCTGATATTATGTAGGTTCGGAGCGGGCGTGGAGGACAGAAAGGTGCACAGCTCCCGAAGGTCGTCCGTGGTGCTGCAGCCTACCGCGAGTGCCCTCAAGGTCCCCGGGTTGAGCACTCGCTCTAGGAGACCGTACCATACGCCGGGCGAGCGCACATTGTCGTTGATGATCAGCTGCGAGAGCTCGAACGTCTGCCTGTAGAGACCGACCAGCGAAACAGGCTTGGGGTCTTGCAAGTTGACGAGCTCCAGGCAGTGCACATCGAACGCGGTGAGCAGGAACGAGAGGACGGACGAGATGCCGGCGCAAAGATGGAGCACTAGCTTCTTCAGTTGGATTGGAGGCCGTCTCGCGATCGCGAGTGTCCACGGCTCTCTGTGGAGAGAACCAGTGATGTGAAGCGTGTGTAGGTTGGTTAGGGAGGGCAATATTGATATGAGGGCGATGAAATCGGTGAGAGAGCGCTGGGTGGGGACCGAGAACCTATGGCAGCGCAGCTCCTGGATGCAGCTCGCAAGCTGAGGGTGGGTAGCACAGAAATGGGCGAATTGTTTGCTTTCTCCCCTGACCATGACTGCAGAGAACAACCGGCGGTAAGAGAGATGACGCCACAGCTTGCAGACCCGGGTGCACGCTGACAACGACCAGCCGGCATCTTGGAGAATACCAAACATCTCGTCGAATATTTCTGTGGGCAACATGTCGTTGATGAGACTCCGGTGGGCGATGCGCGGGTCGGTAGTTTCTGAGTCCAGCAGTCCGACTTTGTCCCTTGTCTCCATGGCTTGCGTCTCAGGGTTGACCGAAGACATCGTCCGGCTCTTCCACCCGCCCAGAGTATACAATCGCAGCAATTTCACCCTGTGTTACAGGATTTAGATTGAATGTTCCTCCGAGGACTCGATGGAACCCTCACCGCATTCTGGCCAACTTAGATCTTGAGCGTAAGCTGCAGGTGTTGGACACGTAGGTAAGCTCTCGGAATCAGTCGGCTTTGCATGTCGCTGCGATCTGTTTAAGAAGCTCGCACCGGCAACGGGTGTGCTCTCATCCTGTGCAATAAATTAAATGTCTTCCCGGGGCGGTGCTCCGCCACAAGCGCCAAAGCATGCCTGATGATGGCGCCAGCACCGTAACTGCAGTAAGTGGTACTTGCTTTGAACGCAAGCGACTACTTTTGTCCAAACGCTGCAGGCTTGAACATTGAATCAACTGTCGGATGTGGCGCATCGGGTTGACTTGGCATGCTGATCGCTGGTTGTGCCAATACACGATGCAATGATACCCATACATACGCCAACGAACGGCATGAGCTAGTATATTTGATCCAGCATCTCTCTATGTCTATTTGAAAGGTAGCGAACATGACAAGGGAACGGCCGCGGCTCTCTACATCATTGAGAGCAAGTCAGTATCGACGAAAGCGGGGGACTAAGCTGAGTGCCAAAGGTACTTACGTGAGGAAAGCACTGACATAGTCCTACTTGACTAGACTTTCCCTCCCCGCGCTGTCCTGTGCAAGACCAATCGCGGCACAGATGAGAACGATGGACATCGCGATCTACATGGTAGCGTACGCCATGTACCTTCCGGGACAAATGCGGCGGCCATAACCAAACGCGACATCTTGTGGGTCGAGGATATCTGGATCGAAGCCGTCGTCCATGAGGAATCGCTCTGTTTCGAATATTTCTGGCCGAGGATATATCGTCTCATCATGAAGGATTGACCTAAAAGCACGTACTGGTGTCAAATGTATCGTTTTCATACGATTACGGGCTATCTGCTTACCAGATGTTGACTATGACTATGGAGTCTTTCTCGAGATGGAAGGCGTGATATACGTCATCCTCGCGCAGCTTGCGCGAAAGGTCTCAAGAGCTTATTATGAGGAAAAGACGCAAGCCTTCCATACACTGCCATTCCTGACTCCTATGTATAGACACAGATGCACAGCCTGCAGAGAAGAATGTCGATACGGACATGGCGCTCTGTGGAGTCTGCATATGGGACATGAAGCCGACGGGTGGCAGCTTCGTGCCCATACGGCGGCCTGCCGATTGAAACCCGCGCCAGGTAACCAAGCAGGTACGTATCTGACTATCAACTGAGCGTCGCAGGAAACACTTGCGTCTGAAACTGCACGCGCGGATAAGCCAGAGTTCGACGAGGTAGAAGCCAATCGCGCACTTGCTCACGGCTTCCTGACCAGCTTCTGCAAGCTCGATGAACGAATCATCTTCAGGGAGCCCCTTGATGTCATATATTACTTCCACGATGTTCGTGAAACAAGCCCACTCTCTGAGTCAGAACGAAACCAGATTTGAGCGCAGAGAGGGGCATCGATACCTTGCGCAGAGTTAAGGGGTCCACGGCGAGATACTAAGCACGCACTACAGTGTACCCTCCAGATCAGCATGACAATCTCAATGCCAGTCTCCGGAGAGATGAAGAGAGATCGGAGGACAGCGATGTAGAGGGCTCGAGCCGCTCCAGGGTGCGGTAGTTCCACTCCAATATCACATCTTCGACGTCGACGCTGTCCGTCTTGAACGTTGACGGTTACATGCACATTGGCGCACTGGCAGTCCCAGAGCAGGTGGAGGTGAGACGAGCATGGACAAGGGGGAGAGCGAAGAATCACCTCGTCTGGCTGCACTAGGGTAAAGTTTGAAAGTCCAAATAATGAACCCGGGGTTTATTAACAGGTTATTAACATGTTAATTAACGGTTCAAAAGCCCAGGGGTCTATCAGCCCGGTTATATATTGTTCAAGAGTCCAGATGGAGGCAATACATAGGTGTTTGAGCTGGAACCACACACTGCCAAAAATCTCCGTGAAGCACTAGTCTAAGACTTTGCTGATAAGCAAAATATACTAACATCATATGCAACTAGATATGGACGTTAACCTTGATCCGAGGTCCAGCGCCGAGAAGACAAGCAAGAAGAAGCTGATGACGAGCAATTCTTCAGGAATGCCTTGCACATGCTTTTTTGCAACCCGGATAATGGAGACAAGGATTCCGATGATGATAGTGTAGCAGATGGCAAGCCTAGCAAGATACTGGAGGGAGAAGGGACGCATTGGCATGGCGATCATCGATGGGATACGACTGTTAATAAACCACGGCGGTGTTAGAAAATGTTCTTAACAGTTAATAACACAAGAGTTAATAACAGTTATTAATCCTGGTTAGAAGCGGCCTGCTTCGAGCGCCTGTTCATAACTCTCTGTTCAAAACCGAATCCTTTTCTAACCATACCCTAGTTCAAAACCGAATCCTTTTCTAACCATACCCTAGGCTGCACCTGAGCTGGCGCTAAGTAGGAAGAATCGGATGGCCCGGGAATCTGGCCCGGGCCTAGCGCGCTCCTATGTAGACGCTAGCGCTGCAGCTCTAATTTCGAACACACCACCGCTGGTACTGTCCTTGTTTGCGTTCTCGCATTTCCTCAGGAACATCTTCCCCTTTCCCAATAACCCAACACTTATCGACGGTGTCTCCGCCCGCACATGAATAGCGAGCGAACGTCTCCGAATCTGCAACTGCTTCTGCATGGATCCCCCGTACTGGACTTCGGTCCACTACGAGTGACGAAATTGGGGAAGGGGACGACCCTGCACTCGCTGGAGTCTGTCCCGTGGACAAGGGCAGGCGAAGAATGACTGTAAGCACATTTTTGCAACGTCGTGGGCTTGCACGCTGTCCTACTGCAAACGTCTGCCGTGAAGCTGCGCATGCCGCCGGTAAGCAGACGACCACCCTGCGCAAATTGCCTGGGAAGACCACTCATGCCTTCAATATGAGTTTGGTACGGCATGTAACCATTCGTACCCGCCATGAAATCTATCACTCAACACTGAAACCGTCGAGTACGTTGCTAACGCATGTACTCAGGTAGCGGTATCTTACATCCCGGCACTACGACACAGGCGACCCGTCGATCCACGACCTTGAACTAGCATAAGGTGAGTATAAATCCCTTCGTGCAGAAAAAGGAGCCGCCACGGATAGCACAGACTTGGCCCTCCTGAACAAGTACGTTCTGCACGCTATGCCGTTCGAGTCGTGCTTTCCTTTGTCTACAAGTGCGTACTCTCTGCGCTAATAGTGGACATATATGCGTGTCCTGGGAGAGGGTGCGCCGGTCTCGATGGTCTCGTTTCTGGTCGCCCGAGGCAACCGAGCCTAGTCCGTCGTGTCCCGAGTCTTCGTCGCCCAAGTCTATTGCATGATCCATCCTTATTCCGAAGGTGATTCGGAAGGTGGTTCGCGCGGGACATAGGTTCTAAACGAAACATGGCAGGATACTCGTTCAACTCCTGCAAGTGCGCCTCCGCGCAAAAGATAATGACCACCTTATCTGTGGTCATGAGGCTTCGGACATCGGGTAGCCAGACATATCGCTATCCATCTCTGGATACTATGAGAGAGAGAACGGAAGTATCCTTCCTTGAGTAGTTCCCCTAATGTTGAGCAATACGTTCCCAAAGGAGATAATCCGGTGCGCGTGACGCCGTCTATCTGACGGAAGCTACAGAGCTGCATGCAAATACTCGCCGAAGCTTATCACAAATTCGTGAGTACCACCCACATGTTACAGTATTCTCCTACCGCTATGAGTTTTTTTAAGTAGAGACGAGTTGCCTACCAAATGTTATGCCGTGTACGTTCTTGCGTCGCGCTCTAGATACACAAGCGCTCCCGAGCCTTCTATGTACCCATTGAGGCAATTCATTTGCATAGGATACGGTCTTTACAGCGGACCGATATGGCAGCAGAGGCCTCGAAATATCGGGGGTATCATATCATGGCCTAACTCTGCATCTCTGACCATGCGGTTGCAGGCGGATTCAGTTGGGCTTCGCGATTCGGGTGACTCAAAGAGGCTTCTATGATAGTTCGTGCTAACTGCCGATAGGTTACGAGCTCACTACGGTACTCCCTTTTCGGCAATTTTTTGCAGGAAGCGAGAGGTGTCAGGGGTCTCATGAGACTCGGGCTCAGTTTCAATGTAATACAACACGGAACCATTCAAGAGAAGGCAAACTGTAATCCGCCACCGAGACTTGTTCATAAAAAGGGACGCGAGCCCTAGATCACCTCAGGTGACACACATTCAAATTTTCAAGGGTGACCATAGTGTCGTCCGAGCGCTCACAAGACTTAGGCTGCACGCTAACAGATGTGTACTAGAACTATTGACGTATCTTGAGGACTGTTCAGTTGAGACTTGCGTATCCATACGACTACTATAGAAGTACAGTTCAAACTCAGCTCTTCTTCATCATCATCATTGCAAATTCACGTCGTTGAATTAGGTTTGGGCAGTGTCCGATCGTCGACAGATGCTATCATGACACAAATAGACGTTGATTTGGCATGATGAGCATCTCAAGCCTTGAATTGAGCCGGGTCTGCTCAGAGATTACCAGACAATATATAACTGCCTACTCCGACTTGTTTTCCCTTGGAGCCTTCCCACAAACCTTTGCGTAGCAATTCTAGCCCCTCGTCCTCATGGATTCTTCCCAAGACCAACAGCGTATCTCTGAGTATTCCAGCTTGTATGTTATGCCTCCTTCCCACTTCAACATGTTGCTTCTGACTGTCATGCCCATGACATAGTATACTCGATAACTACTGCATATTCGCCGGAGCAGGTGAGTCAAATGACTCGTGGCTCCTTACACGAGTTCCCAAGTACAAATTGCTGACAGCACCCTAACGCAGTGGTTTTCCTATACGACGCAGTATTAACTACCGGACAAGAAGTAACGTATTTCTGGGGCCGAAGAGTGACAGGAGCCACCATTCTCTTCTGGCTGAATAAGTACATGACGATGCTTTACATGGTCTGGAACCTTGCGACCAGTCACAATATATCAGACGAGGTATTTTCTATCCCACTAGCCACCGTCAAACTACACTGATGTAATCTGGGGCTCTACTAGAGGTGAGCTGGAACCACCTCATGTGTCTTCATTTCAGGGGCCAGAGCCGATCATTCGTGTGTAGCTGTAAGATTTCTGTTAGAGGGGATGTCGCGGTAGACTACCTGCTCTTCCTAGTCATAGCAGGTGAGATACTCTCCTTGTTTCGATTCCAAGAAGTATATCTACTCTCGCCGCCTAGTGTTCACAGCGATGCGCGTATATGCCCTCCGAAAGAGCTTACTTCTAGGCTCCATCACCTTCATCCTATCCATGGTGCCTATTGGAACCAATTTTGTAAGTTTTGATAACTCACGTGTCCAAGTCGATAATAATCGACACGTTGATAGACATTCTTTCGTTTTGGACTCACAGGGGAGAACATCTCTCCATTTGGTTGTCAGGCAGTGGATACTGTGTCCGTTGACCTTGGAAAGAAGTAGGTTCTCTCTAAGTGTCGCTACCGTCTGCATACTGACTGCAATTTCATGTTTCCTAGATGTGAGGGGATAGAAATGCATATGTCTGCTCCTCCTAGTTGATGCTTGAACCAGTAACAATCGTCACGCGCTCATGCGTGATTGCAGCGGACTGCCTCGCTATTACTGCAACATGGTTCACGCTGGACCGATCCCGCAGCATCCTCCATATGGTTCGGCCAAAGGGAACTCTTTCCAGTGTTTTTCTAGTCGATGGTGAGATTGGGCCCAAATGGAATTCTCCTTGCATCACTGCTGATAGATTCACCCAGGTACAATTTACTTCGCGTGAGCCTCAGCGGGGATCATCGAAGCGTGTCATTGCTCACAATTTGCCAATATAGGACTCTGGTGGTCCTCAATTGTTTGCATTTGGCGTTTACATTGCTTTCGGTAAACCTGTGTTCTCCATTAATGACACAGATATTTTTGGCGACCTAAACACTACAGCTCGAAATAGGAGCACTGCAGCCTACTAGCGTCGTGGGAGACTTCACAGTTCCGTATGTGTGACAATCACTTACCTGGTCTTGTTTTTCTATCTGACATACATCGTGCAATTGCGTATCAAAACCAGGATATCTGCTATTCTGCTTTCACGGTTTCTATTACACCTGCAGTCAGCCAGTCTCCGGGCTGTCGGTTCCTTGTCCTCTTCGCAGGCTTCGTCGGCCCCAGATCCCGATCGCTCTATCACTTTCGAGCGAGTTGTCGGGTCACTCGCAGCGTCGATCACGGCCGATGATTATAATGTTGAACAAGAGGTCGATGCGGATGAGAGTGAAGATATCGACATGGCTGCAGGAGGAGGCTACGATCAGACATCGCCGGAGTAGTGTTATCTTGGACGAATAATGTCGGGATCTAGCTATAGGGAAGTGACGAGACTGACGCGAGGAATATATGTACAGTAGCGGATTCGATACGAGCCGCTCCGCGTCCAAAGGTGCTTATACACTGCATCGAACCACGCAGACGGCGAATGTCTATCTGCAGCCCCTTACCATGCCCGATCGCTTGGCCTCTCCTTCCACTGACCCCTGGGGTTCGTCGTACCAATCCGTTTGACCGCGATGTCGCAGAAGACACCGCCATCATAGACGCGCCGGCAGCTTCCTTCATCATGACACCAGCCGCCGACCACAGCATGACGTACGTCGAAAACCCTACCCAAGTTATGATGGTGAATACCTTCAGTATTCGTAGAGTAGAGGTCAGTGTATAACACCTTCACTCACTTTCGAGCATATCTGCCGTCCATCCGATGGAGTCAAAGCTAGCCCTCTGGCTTTTGTGAGCGTCGAGGACGCCACCGTGTGTTACGCCATCCTTGCCCTTGCCGTTCTTGGAGAATCAATCCTCGAACCTGCGACACGTCATTCTGTCAGTTTGTCCGCCATCCATCTCGGCAAAGACAGACGTGCTACGTACTTTGGAGGTGTGAATAGGCCCACCGAGTTATACGCCCCCGTAGCGCCGTTTCCACTGCGGTATACTGCGCGTCCACCCACGCAAGAACGGGCCGGGAAGCTACCCGGGGCATGTCACTTACGTGGATGTGGGGCGGATAACGAACACGGCGAAGACACTGCCGAGGAGGAAGAAGTTGAGGCCATGCGCGTAGAAACACCAGAATGTGTCGAGGGGCCAGATGACGCCGTCGCCGTCGGGGTCGAAGAAGACGACGTGCTGCTGCAGCACCGTCTGGTGCGCATGCTCGTCGTGCCAGCCTGGGGTGCCCCCGGGGGTGGCGGGCGTCGCGGCAATGTGTGCCCTTGCGGTTCCTATGAACGCGTGCGGTAAGTACGCGTCGCGCGATGTATTTCAATGAGTGCATTGGCATGGACAGAGGGTGGGAACTGGCCCGGGAGCATCACAGTCACACTCACATCAACGAGTGCAAGCCTACCAGGATCGACAATGGTCGTACATGGGCCTCTCTATGATGCCCATCTGCTGTGGGATGGCCATCTGCACCTTGTGGTGCTGCGACTCGGCGAGGTCCGCGCTGGGACGAGTGCCTGTCTTCCTCATATGCATCCTCTCCGCCACCGTTGCCGCCATCTTACATTTGATTTGAAGGACAGCGCATCGGCACCTTAGTGCCATACGCCACTTCCACGATATTCGTGAGGCAAGTTCGCGGTTCGCGTCGGGACGATATCAGACTTGAGCACAGAAAGTGATATAGATACCTTGAGCAGGGACAAGAGGTCCCAGGCGAGACGCCCGGGAGCATGCACCGTGGTGTATCCTCCAGGTCAGCACGACAACCTCAATGCCGCGTCCGCAATCCGGAAGATGTATAGAGAAATCGGAGGACGTCAACGTAGACGGATCGAGCCGCTCTAAGGTGCAGTAGTGCCACTCTAGTAGTAGTACATCGTCGACGCTGTTCACCTTGAACTTCCTTGTTCGGGCGATGTCCGTTTTTTGTAGGATGGGGAACCACTGCAGGACGTCACAGCGGGACCTTAGCACAATGGTATGGCACTAGCTCATGATGCTGACATGCACATTGGCGGGGTCCCAGAGCAGGTGCAGGTGAGACGAGTACGGACAAGGGGGAGGGCAAAGAACCGTAAGTGTCGTCTAGCCGCGCCTGAGCTGGCGCTAAGTATTAGGAACAGTCGCCGGGAAATCCGGCCCGGGACGGACCTATGGGCAAGCGCGATTCGAGACGCTCCAGCTCATTCTCAACATAACACCGGTCCACCGCCAGTACCATCCTCGCCTACGTTCGCAAATTGTCATTGATATTCCTCCCCGCGCCCTACCCTCCAACATCCCGATTATCATGCCTCTATGGAGCCTTATCGTCTGCCGCAATGGCAGCATCCATGGACACCGAGCTCAAGTCGACAACGACTACCGCCGCTGATGCGCCTTCCTCCTATCACGACCTCCTTCTGCACACTCGGTCTGCGGGCACCTTCAGACACGAGGTCAGTGAGCTCATGAATAGCGGGTGAACGTTTCCGAATCTGCGACTGGTCCTGCATGTATGACCGTGTTGGACGTCGGCCCACTACGAGTGACGGAATTGGGGAAGGGGCCGCGAGCCTACACTCGCTGGAGTCTATCTCGGGGACAATCGGCTGGCAACGAATGACGGTGCGCACATCTTAGCAACGTCCTGGGCTTGCACGCTGTCTCACTGCAAACGTTTGCCGCGAAGCTGCGCATGTTGCTGGTAAGCGGAGCGCTCAATGGATAGTCCACCTTGCGCAAACCGCCCGGAAAGACCATTCATGCGTTCGCTGCGGCATGTATACCTGCCATGAACTGTATCACTCTATCGAAACAGTCGAGTACGTTGCTAACGCGTTATGTAGGTAGCGGCACCTTGCGCTCCGGCACTACGATACGGGCGACCCGTCGATCCACGACCGTGAACTAGCACAAGGCGAGCGTGCACTCCTTCGTGCTTCGTGCAGGGTAGCCGTCACGTATAGCGCAGTCATGTGACCCCCTAGTCTGTCGCGTCCCAAGTCTTCCCCGCCTTGGTCGATTGCATGATCAATCCTCGCGCGCGAAGAAGCGCAAGAGGAGTCAGATTAGGGTGTCAGTGTTCGGTGTTGCGGTCAGTGTTCGGTGTTGCGGTCAGTGTTCGGTGTTGCGGTCAGTGTTCGGTGTTGCGGTCATGCGCAGCGCCTGCCGTCAACGTCGGGTTCTTCCCCTATGGCGATATGTGCGTGTGCACTTATGCTTGGGCCTGACTTTGCCGTGTCGGCGTCAGAGTATGACTCGCAGCATCGTTCCATCCGGAGGTCGTACAGGCAATCTTGAAGGACGATTGAGAGGTGAAGGGCAAGTTCCCCTCGGGACTGCGGCCATGATCCTTGGACAGTAGAGCGAAAACCTCAGCCTCATGTCGAGGCTGTTCCTGCATGACGAGTTCATCATGACGGTGCGTCATGTCTTGCTACGCAAAGATGCGAAGAGACGCGCGTACGCCAGCGTTTTCGCAGGAGCTCATCATGCCCGTGACATCGACGGGGAGAACGCGCCTACTGCGGCGCTGCATGGTTTCCCAGATCAAGGCTACCCGAAGGCGACGGAGAGATGAGAGGAGAAAGTCATGCAGTGAAGTACGCGTGTCTCTTTCGTACTTACCCCATCGCTTGTCAGCGTCCTTTTGTGCTGTCCTGCGCTTTGGGACTTGTCCTGCGCAGTTTGATTCACGCGCGCGGCCGCCTCTCCCCCATCGCTGTCTTGTACATTCGCTTGTTAATCTAGCGGTCTACCCTATCATGCGTGTATTCCCACGTATGGATGATGTTCCCTCCCCGCAGATAATTGTCAGCCCTGAGGTTGGAGTCTAGGATAACCATATCAATTTTCGTATCTCAAATGGTGTCATCTCTAGCGTCAGCACAACCGCACTGCTGCCGTACAGTCGTTGAGTCTACTTGCGCGTTGTAGGCGATGATGAGAGCCTGATACAAGAGCTAGGAGCCTCTCGTCATGGACCATCTTGATAGACAATCAACGCGGAGCAAGGCATCGGATTAGCGGTACGTGACGCGCTCCGGCAGGTGCGGACAGACGCATGTACACACCGCCTTGCGAGGTCAATTGAGTCAAATGAAGGACGCCCAGAGTTGATTTGAAACGTATCAGTGCCTGGCTGTCAATGAAACTATAATTCGTCGGTGGAAGAATCATCAATCTCGACGCCGGAAGATAAGGAGCAGGTTTTAGTCACTTAGGAGGTCGCCTACAAGTATCCCAACACCGTTGCTCCAAGTGGATAGCCTCCCACCGCCAACGCGTAGCCATCCTGGTTCCTTACTGTCATGGCTTCTTCTCAAATCAGCCAATTCGTCGCTGAATACAGCACTTTGTATGTTATACATCTACGCGTCTCAGACTAGAAGCGCGGACACTGAAAATTCTTTCAATGCCATAGCGTTGCGCAGAATGACTGCTTCATTGCAGGGGCAGGTATGCGGACTCAGCTACATCCCAGTGATATGCTGATCGACACTTTTTTTGGAAGTGATCTTTCTCTACGATGCGATACTCACCACGGGAGAAGAAGTACGGTGTTTCTGGGGGCGCAAATTGACTGGGGCAGCCATCCTGTTCTGGCTGAACAAGTACCTGACTATACTATACCTTGTTTGGAATCTCGGGACCCTACTGAGCATATCAGACGAGGTAGGCATTGTTACTTTGCCGTATTTTACACTGATGCAGAAGAGCTATGTGACCACCAGAGGTGAGTTGATTTCATAGGCTCGTTCCTCGGCACGAATTCAAAAACTGACTCAAAACGGCCGCCCTCGTGAAGCTGTAAATTGTCCGTACAAGGATCTTCTGCGGTTCTCTATACATTATTCCTAATCGTGGCAGGTGCGCTATGCTCATTATGCATTCAACGTGTACAGTCAGCCTACTCAGGACCTCCTAGCCTTTGCAGCAATTCGTGTTTATGCACTCCGAAAGAGCATCCCTTTATGCTCCATCACCTTCGTCCTTGCCATGGTACCTTTTGGGGTCAATTTCGTAAGGGTTCTCGCAGCGCATCAGTTATTGTCCGTCAAGCTCTGAATCATTGCCAACAGGCCCAATTCGGCTTCGGACTCACTGGCGGGAACATGCCGCCATTTGGCTGTTCTGCCATTGGACACGAACCGGAGGGTCTCGACAAGAAGTCAGTGCACACTGTTAGGATGTATACGCATATCCGTACTAACCCTCATTGTATCTTGCTCAGGCGTAAGCGACTGTCACGAGCGATCTTCGCTAATCCTGCTGAATGATCATGTCAGTGACCATTGTGTCCCGATCGTGCCTGATCGCAGCGGACTGCCTTGCTGCCAGCGTCACTTGGTTCGCACTTGCACGACCTCACAGCATTCACACTCTGGGAGTCCGACAGGGCTCTCTTGCTGGCGTCCTCTTGATAGATGGCGAGTGCTGACCTCCATGCATCAGCCATTGCTAGCAGTGCTAATGAGTCCCACATTTAGGCTTGGTGTATTTCCTGTGAGCTGCATTGTGTTCCAATGAATAAGATCACTTCTCACCTCCAGCGTGTTCAGGATTCTAGCCATTCTGAACTCTCTGCATCTAGCGTTGACGATTGTTTCGGTAAATCATACCTTACCTTGGCAAGCACACTGATTCACTCCTGGGATTACAGTTTGATATAATTGCATTGCAAGCTACTAGCGAGATAGCAAACTTCACAATCCCGTACGCGAACCTCAGGATCTTTCTCCCTGGATACTGGTGCTCTCACTGACCTGCTAATACAACCCAGGTTGACCGCCGTCCTCGTCTCACGCTTCCTGCTCCACTTGCAGTCCGCAAGTATGCGGGCCATGGACGCCACATCGTCGTCACGAATGCAATCAACGAACGTGAACCACTCCCTGGTTTTCGAGCACGCCATTGGTTCACTTGGGGCCTCCATCTCGGTGGATGACTACCTTGTGCAGGAGGGCAACTTGAGCATGAGCGAGGATGACAACGTGGATGGACACGAGATAGCTGAACCGATTGGGCCACCGGGAGAGTAGGCGGTTGTCCGGCGCGATTACATTTTGGATTAGAACAGCTATCTGGGTGATTACTCCAATTCGGGGGATCATGTACACAGAATTCAGACTAATTACTCTTCTGTAGCTCGAATCCTATACATTCGGCAGAGCGGAGAAATTGTAGGAATTATGATGAATATATGCGTTTCTCTGGCGGCCTACCAGGCCCAATCGTTCGGCTTCTTCTTCCACTGTCCCCTTGGGTTCGTCGTACCGATGCGCTCCATCGCGATATCGTAGAAGATGCTGCCATCATAGACGCGTCGACAGTCCTCTTTCTTCATGACACCGTCCTCTGGCCAAAGCATTACGTACGTCGCAAGCCCTAACCAAGCATGAGGGTGAGTACCTTCTACATGCGTCGAGCGGAAGTCAGCAAGTTGCACTCACATTCGAGCATCTCTGCGGTCCAGCCGATGGGATCAAAGATGACCCTCTGGCCTTTATGAGCATCGAAGACGTCACCGAGCGTAACGCCGTCCTTGCCCTTGCCGTACTTGGAGAACCAATCCTCGAATCTGCGAGGCGTAATTCTGTCTGTCAATCAACCCGCCGCGAATATCGTCTCGGTACGCACTTGTGCGGTATGAACCGCCCCTCCGAATCATACGCCCCCGTGTCGCCCCCATGCTTGCCCTTATGTATGCTCCCCGTCCACACCCTCAGAAACGGGTCGGGCAGCCAGCCGGGGCACGTCACGTACGTGAACGTCGGATGGATGACGAACACGGCAAAGATGCTGAGGAAGACGTTGAAGCCGAGCGCATAGAAGCACCAGAAGGTGTCGAGCGGCCAGATGACGCCGTCGCCGTCGGGGTCGAAGAAAAGGACGTGCTGCTGCAGCACCGTCTGGTGCGCGTGCTCGTCGCGCCAGCCTGGGGTGCCCCCGGGGGCGGCGGGCGTCGCGGCGATGTGTGCCCTTGCGGTTCCTATAGACACGTGCGGTCAGTACGCGTCGCGAGATGTGTTTCGATGAGTGCGTTGGCGTGGACACCGGGTGAAGGTGCATGCATGCAGGCTTACCAGGGTTGCGAAGGCCCTCCGGCTCGGAGGGGGGGTTGTACGGGGGCCTCTCCATGGTGACCGTCTGCTGTGGGATGGCCGTTTTCACCTTCGGGTGCTGCGACTTGTCGAGTTCAGTGATGTTCTGAGCGCCCGTCTTCCTCATATGCATCGTCTCCGCCGCCGTTGCCGCCATGTTGTGCGTGCAGAATGGAGAATGGGTAGCTGGCACAGAGGTGAGATGGTAGAAGGAGAGTTGCGCAAAACGACGCAAGCGGGTTCGGGAATTTGGATTGAACAGCGTCGAGTACACGTCGTGACGTCAGGGCGAGGTCATGTTGAGAAGAGGGTGCCGATCGTCGTCATGGCTTGCGAAATGCTGCGATGCGCTTCCAGGCGAGGATAGCGATCGTGGAAGATGCGGTTTGTGGCGCGGTCGGTCTCCTCGACTGCCAAATCCCTGCGATACGAGTGGACGACGGAGGTACTCGCGGCAGCATCAAGTCCGGGTCGTCTGTGCTGTTGAACCCGGGGGGGCGAAGGCCTCTCCCACGGGTGGCAACGACAGCGGATAGCCTGCAACTCACCTAGAAGGGTTGTTGGTTGTAAGAGGCTTGTTAGAGCGATGAGAGGAGATGTTCGAGTGAACTGAACTGTAGATTGGGGGTACAGAGGTCCCCTATATATACTACTGTACATCTGTGGCTACGTAGTACTATACAGTACATTCCCAGGATGCACAGTCGCACAGAGAAGCAGTGCGTACACAGCGAAGCTGTGTGTGTACCACATGAGTAGTACAGCCTCGGTTATTGCAGTAACCGGCTGTGCCGTTCCATATCTTGTGACGGCTGTATTAGGCAAGCTGTGTAAACCAG